AGTCAAGAACGAAGGTTCATTGAATTTGGCAACCTGGAAAAGAGGAAAGTTATCGGAAGGAGAAATTCTTAAAATGACGACGTTTGGATTGGGTATTAAGAAAATTTGAAATAATTCTTGAATTCGAGACAAGAGGTTCATTGAAATAGTAAACGTGAAAAAAGCAAAGTTATCGAAAGGAGAAATTCTTAAAATGACGACGTTTGGATAGGGTATTAATAAAGTTAGAAATAATACTTGAACTCAAGAGAAGAGGTTCATTATAAATCACAACCTGTAAAGGGGCGAAAAATCGAGAGGAGAACTTTTAGAGAGATAACATTTCCACAGGACATTAAGAAAGATAGAAGAAATTCTTAAGTCAAGAACGAAGGTTCATTGAATTAGTGAACATGGAAAAGAGGAAAGTTATCGCAAGGAGAAATTCTTAAAATGACGACGTTTGGATGGGGTATTAACAAAGTTAGAAATAATACTTGAACTCAAGAGAAGAGGTTCATTAGAAATGACAACCTGTAAAGGGGCGAAAAATCGAGAGGAGAACTTTTAGAGAGACTGACATTTCCACAGGATATTAAGAAAGATAGAAGAAATTCTTAAGTCAAGAACGAAGGTTCATTGAATTAGTGAACATGGAAAAGAGGAAAGTTATCGCAAGGAGAAATTCTTAAAATGACGACGTTTGGATAGGGTATTAACAAAGTTAGAAATAATACTTGAACTCAAGAGAAGAGGTTCATTATAAATCACAACCTGTAAAGGGGCGAAAAATCGAGAGGAGAACTTTTAGAGAGATAACATTTCCACAGGACATTAAGAAAGATAGAAGAAATTCTTAAGTCAAGAACGAAGGTTCATTGAATTAGTGAACATGGAAAAGAGGAAAGTTATCGCAAGGAGAAATTCTTAAAATGACGACGTTTGGATAGGGCTTTTACAGAGTTAGAAATAATATTTGAACTGAAGAGAAGAGGTTCATTAGAAATGACAACCTGTAAAGGGGCGAAAAATCGAGAGGAGAACTTTTAGAGAGAATGACATTTCCACAAAACATTAAGAAAGATAGAAGTAATTCTTAAGTCAAGAACGAAGGTTCATTGAATTTGGCAACCTGGAAAAGAGGAAAGTTATCGGAAGGAGAAATTCTTAAAATGACGACGTTTGGATTGGGTATTAAGAAAATTTGAAATAATTCTTGAATTCGAGACAAGAGGTTCATTGAAATAGTAAACGTGAAAAAAGCAAAGTTATCGAAAGGAGAATCTTTCGATAAGGCGACTTTTTGAAATAAATGGGTATCAAACATATTAGAACTAGTTCTTGAATTCAAGAGAGGAGGTTCATTAAAAAAGTCAAAATAATCGAGAGGATAATTTTCCAAAAGAATGTCAAGGTTAAAAAATGGTTTTGAAAAAAGCAAACATTTTAGTAAACTAAAGCTTTTCGTCTGACACTTTTCAATGTTTAAAACGTCAGAACATAGATCGAAAACTCTACGCTAGGAAATATATATACCTAGTTGTTGATCGAAATAGCACATGACTGTTGAGGTTGACCAATCTGTGCTTAGAATCAAGAGATAAAATTATTGGAAAACTCAGTCTGTAAAGAGGAGAGAGAAATCTAGCGGATTATTTGTTTATAGGTTATTAAGGAATTAAGAAGAAAAGCTCAATTTTCAAAAGAAGATGCCCATTTCAAAACTCGAACTGTAAAAGGACAGCAGTTTCGAGAAGACTACTTTTTGATGGGGTATTTTTGACAAACACGTTTGCAGTAAAGCATGAAATCAAGATGGGAGGTTCATTGCAAAGCTCAATCTGTAAAGGAGAGGGACATCAGAATAAAGACCTTCTTGAGTAAGATTATTGATAGGTTATTGAGTAAGGCTGAAGTAAAGCTCGATTTAAAATTGCAAAGGTCACCAAGGGACATCAAACCGCCAGGATGACGATTAGGGTATCAAGTGAGATAATGAATTTTCTACTTTGAAGAGGAAAATTTGCTATTATCAAGCAATAAATTAAAATGATACACAGATAGATAACGCCGACTTGATTTAGTAAACTTCATAAACGTTTTGTCCAAGAAGGTAAATTTTCTATACCTATTCACTGAAATCGCCATTAAAGCAGCGATTGGTCATGTCAACAAATCCAGACGTTGATACATTAGTTAGTAATAAATGCTTGCATTTCAGTGCTAAAACTACAATTTCTAAGAGACTAGGAATCTGCTGTGCTTTGTGCAAAAACTGGTAAATGGATCTTAGTTTTGAATGCAACTCACATCTGAATCAACACGAAGAGAATCTCTACATGGCTTGATAAACTATTGACCATATTGAGGAACTTCTTTAAACAGGGTTATTCTCTTTCTGGACCAGTTTTTGCTGGGTGCTTCTAAAAGCATATTAATTTTTATTATCTATAGTGGAGCATTTTTCTCCTATATTTTATATCCTAAAAATGCTTCTAACCAGAAAATAATTTCTTATATTCAAAATAATTTAAAAATGTAAAGTTTCGTAAAATGAACATATATTAATCAAATCATTTCAGCTAGGCACATGGCTTCGATACCTCTGTCTTGAGTTTTTTCACATGTCCATCAGCTAATTTGGTATGAATTTAGTGACTAAAAAAAACTGGCAGCTTTGTTTGAAAACTATAACTAGGCTTTTGTAACTGTGAATATCAACAATATCTTTTGATAATGATGCTACTGGCTCATTGCATAAAAAGATTTATTCTGTGGCACAGGGACAGCATAGTGACCAACAAAGATAGTTTTCAGTGTGATTATGGTTGTTTTTAATAAGTTAGAAGTATTTCAGAAAGTGGTTTGAAGATTTAGGGATAGTTTTTAGAAAAATCAGTTGAAGACTTTATTTTTAGACTTTTGAATTAAGTCAGAAGCACTAAAAGATGGGCACCTATGTGCACTAACAAAAGGATACTTGTATAAGAGAGTTCTGCTGAATGGTCTTACAAAAAGAGTCTACTGTCTTCAACAAAGAAATGTAATTGGAACTTGGAGGGGGATGGTCAATAACCTTCTTGCTAGTATGTGGATAAAGTACAAAGAAATGCAGAGGCATTGGCATATTTGATACACAAGAAGAAGAGGCCATCAAAACTGCAAAGGGTGGCTGCAGACAGAGCTCAATGTTGCAATATTTTATTTCTAAATCTGTTAGTAGAGTTCAAACAGGCCTTGTACTGATTACTGGTTTCATAAATGTTGGACATACTGACAAAGCCATTGTAAGGATAAGAAACCAAGATAGATTCACTGGTTTGGCTATAAAACACCCACACCCTTAATTTAAAACTTTGTTTAATCAATTAGATTAAATGTTAGTAACTAATCTAATAGAATTCAACCTGCTGATCATGTCATTTTTTCAAATATTGTGTTTAGTTTTTGAGTGACAAGGGCTGACATTTTGACAACTGATGAAGAGTTTACTGATACTGTTATGCAATTTGATGTCACGGTGCAATTTGAACAACTTCTTGTTCTTACCAGAAGATAATCTTTGAAGCATCTTTGACTGGGAACCCTTTTTCGCTCATATTCTTGGTGTTTTATCTTGATTGATGATGTGTTGTTAGTTTGGTGTTTAATTATCCTAAAGCTAATTACAACTATTTTCAAAATAATTAAAACCTTCTCTGAATCAGACTGCTTATAAATAACAAGGTTAAAGAAGCAAGGATCTTAAAAAGGGCATATTCTAGCATTCTATAGAACATGGCTTAAAAAAATTTTGGTCACAACCTTTTCAGCCCCCTACTTTACATTGTTGTGGGGTGCCTGAATAGGATGCCAATCATTAATCTTAACAAAATATTCTAGAGTTCTGGACTCGATAAACAACAAAACTCAAATTATGCAAGAAAATATTGTTAAAATAGGCTGCCTGATTTCTTATCTGGCAAAGTGCCCCAAGGCCTCAAGATTTAAGGGGGCTTCACAAATTGAAGAATGGAATTAGTCAAATGTGACAAAAGTCCCCCTTGTTTTTAACAGTGGCAAGAAAATAATTGCAAGACATATCATGAAATAAACTTCAAGCTAATTTTAAGGGGCTGTGGTTGCAAATCTTTGTCTTTCAGCTTAGGTCCAGGACATGCAAAAAGGGGAATTTTATATATACATTTAATTCGGTCAAATATGTTATTTGAAGGCAAGGCGATAGAAATCAAAACTGAGCCTGTCTCCAATTTTGGCAAATATGAAGAAAAATATTGACAACGCTAAATGCGAACCTCTCAGCACGTGGGCATCCATATGAAATGATACATAGGAAAGATGTTTGGTTTAGATTCAGCCTAAACCAATCTGGGTCTGAGAGATTAGTTGGTGCAAAAGGTGGGGAGCCTTAGGTAGAATCGGCACAGAAGCATAAACCATCCTTGAAAATGGAAAAACACTTGCAATAAAATTATACGACAAATATTTCTTTCCCAATAAACATAAATGCTTACCACTTAATCAACAATATCATCATTTTTTCTGCTTTTGATTTACCGATAACAAAATTCTGCCCCATTTGTCGCCGCCATTTTGCAATTTCCACGAGGTCACACAACATAAACAACTCTCCTCCGCAGTAACAATAATATAGTTAGCAAATAAATTTAGCACCAGAATGAAAATACAATAGTTTAATTGTTAAAAACACGACGTTTCGAGCATGTGCTCGTTATCTCGTTGTCTTTATAACGAGCACATCCTCGAAACGTCGTGTTTTTAACAATCAAACTATTACATTTTCATTCTGATACTAAATTCATTTGATAACTATGTTATCATTATTCTGGATGAAGTACCATTCGCAACGTACATATTTAATTCGGTCACAAAAATAATAGCAAACAATTTCTAACAGTTTTCCTGTAGAAATTTCGCTGTCAAATTCCGAATAAAATTCAGGATTTTATCTCCGTACGGCCTTCTTGGAATGGAAAAAGAAGCATAAATTATACTACAAATAGAGACACAATTAAATAATCATGATACAAAGCTGCATTAATCAAATGCATTGATCTGCTTGAACTCTAGACTTGCTGGTATTGCACTATCATTTATGAGTCATTTCATAAAAATATGGTGTCTTCTTTGAAGTTGATTTCTAGGATATTGGACAGTTCTTCAAGACACTTGAATAGCAAGACCCTTTTCCTTCAATATAGAATTCTTTTCCTTTGTAAGATGCAATGCCTTTGCTATTTACAAGCATGTCAGGTTTGACCTGCTCCCAGATCTAAAAAAGTTGAAAGAAAGAAATTAAATGTTGAAAAAAGATTTAAAACAGTTCAACGAAAGATCAAAAACAGAAGAAAGAAAGTGAAAACCTCGAGTACATCTATTATTATCAACAGATAAGGAATTTAACTTTAAAAATAAAAGGAAACGAGGATGACTGGGTTAGGCCAATAGAAGATTAAGTGATGTAAAGAACAAATATTTTACTCTTATAGCCTAATTGCCTAGCAATCTTAACACCAAGCAGAAGTATTCAGTCAGCATGGAGTTTAAAATGAGACATATTGTCAACATTCCATAACTAACACTTACCTTTCTTTTTGGATTGAGTTGTACATCTGGTTCAACTAAGGAAAAATTTTCGTCATTATAAATTGAATACCGAGATTGAGCCTTATGAAATATACAGAAAACAGTAGTTTTGTTGTCAATGATAAATTTTGGCCAGAAAACTGTTTTTACTGGACCTTTTGTGACCATAGAATAAACATTGTTCGTTGATAGCTAAGATGTAATTCTGATGAGCACTTGCAATATTTCAAATACTTATCATTCATTTATAAGGCCTCTAAACTATGTGCTCTTATATCCTTTAGACAGACGATGAATCATATAGCTAGGCCAAGTTTCTGATCTGAGTTTGGGGTTATAAAATCTTGATCTTTGAGACAGGAAAGGCGCTGACGTAACATAGGCAATTTGTTCCATCTCCGCAAGGATTAACATTATATGTGTACTTTTCTGTCTCTTTTTGATGAAACGTAAGAATTGAAATAAACCTATTCTAAAAATTAAATAAACCTAAGGTAAAATCATGACATTGGTCAATAAATAAGATTTGCATTGTGAAAAGTAAAAGCTGCTCCTTTAACGAATAAAATCTAAACAATTGGATCAAATTGGATGCAATTTTATATTCTTAAAAATCTATCTTTTTCTTTAAAAATTCTATATTGATATATTGGAGAGATTTTATGTTTCAAACATAACGTTAAAAACATTCCTCCACAGCAAAAATGGCTGAATCAGTGAGATATCATATCGAATACCCGTGTATCCCTGCATCCGCACTTTGTCCCCAATAGTTGCACCCTCTGGAAGCAACAGGGGCTGGACTTTCTCAGGAGTTGATGCGCACATTATCATGCCTTGAGACAAAATTCCACGCATCCTAGAAACGAATGACATCTTATTAGAACAGAGTGCTCAGTAGAATGCAATTCCGCAAAAAAAAAGAAACGATAAAACTGGTTTTGCAGTAATGCAGAGTCTATGATGTCATATTTCTAACGTGCCCTTCCGTAAACAGATGTTTCTTCATTGTTGACAAAAAGAAATATGAAGAAACATTTATTTGAAAGTTTCAGGTGCAAATATAACAAATTATATGACCACTTTATCTGTTTAATTTAATTGTTTAAAATTCTGGAGTTGATGCGAGAGGTAAAAATGGAAGCAAATTACATTGCACTCCTTCATATGATGCCGAGTATTTTGATACAACTTTAAAACAATTAAATTATGTTAAACAAAATTTCTATTGAAACAAAGCAACTTGAGAAGCGCTTACCATCTTCACGTGTTTTACGCATAAATTTACACGTTTAAAATTAAAAAAAATTAAAAAAATGAAATGATAAAAATTTAAAAAATTGAAGAAAATTAAGAAAAAAGTAAAACAATTAACAAGTATTCAAAAAATTGAAGAAAATTAAAAAGGAAAATTAAAAAATTAGAAAATGAAAATTTTTAAAGAAGATTGAAAATAAAGTAAAAAATGAAAAAAGAATAAAAAAAAATTTAAAAAGTTAAAAAAAATTTAAGAATTAAATAAAATCAGTCAACTAAGCAAATAAATGGTTAGGTGGCGTTCTATTAACTTTAAAGTAAAATAAAACTTTGAAAAACTGGGATACAAAGGTTTGATGGGTTCACAATCCTAGCAAAAACGATTAATTTAAAATTTAAGAAAATTCAAAGAGTTAGGTTACTTAGCAGGCTTCAAGTTGCACATGAAAATAGCCAATCGATTCTAAAAATAAAAGAAGCAAAATTATTATTACAAATAAATCATACAGCCATGTAAATCAAAATTTCTAGCGAGATATGCACAGATAATTTAACAATTGTCGAATAGCAGCGCCAATTGCAAACATCCTGTACAGTCATATCCTCCTTTACACAAGGTAGATGTGCTATAGAGTAGCATATGATATTAGGGAATTTTTGTACCAGCAAAAGTTGTACTATTCATTAATATGAAAAAATACAAAAATGAAATAATGGAATAAAACTGTACAGTTCTCTTAGACTTTCTGCAGGCTTTTCAACCATCGCTGATAATGGCATTTCATGATAACAATATTTTGGTCAAGGATGCAGAACCTTTTTGAGTTTCTTATAGCGATCAATACAATGCATTTTTTTCTTGCAGGGTAAATCTCCGTAGATACCTTTCTCTTTTATAACCTTAACACATACCTGCATTTCTTCTATTGGCACATGCTTGACTAGGCCACTTACAATGGTTCGTGGATTTTCTTCGCCAAGATCGACTGAAAGTGTTAAATGCATACTGAGTAAACAGGCATGGTAACATAACAAACGGAAGGTGAATAAGCAAAAAAAGGCCATGGGGAAATAAAAAGTTCGTTAGAGACATGATGAAGATATCTTATATAGTTTTACACACGTGTTTATACGTATGATAAAACATTCTAATATAGATGATGTATGAGAAATAGAAATAGAAGACATAATAGAAGCTCCTTTGTTTTCTGATTCATGAAACAGTTTTCATACACAAAATATCAAAGGTGTCCTATTTGTAAAATGTCTTAGGTATTGAACTGTTATAGTGAGCATCAAGCACTGTTTTGTTAAAATAGACAACATATACTTAGATAACGTCTTATATGTAAATATCTGATTTATTAGGCAAATGAGGGTTAAATGTAACGACTTCTTTTAATTCGAGAACGAAACAACTGTTTATACCAGCCCTCAAAACGAAAATAATGTATCTCCCTTCGTAACTATATAATTATTGGCTTTGAAAAAAGCAAACATTTTGAGTCACACAAAAACTTTTCGTCTGACACTCTTCAGAATATAAAAAGTCAAGCGTTTTCTCTCTTGGACTCCAGTGGTAATTTTTCTTTAGGATCGCGGCACTGATTGGTCAACTATACCGGTCTTGTGCTTGCGTTTTTCTGATTGGCCTATTTCGATCCACAACTGGGTATATATTTTGCACCGTGTTCTTTCGGAACCTTATTCTGACGTTTTATGCTCTGAGGAGTGTCAGACGAAAAAGCTTTTAGTATGTTGTATAATGTTTGCTTTTTTCAAAGCCATTTTCAAATTCTGTACCGCAAAAAAATTGTTCAAAAAGTCATAACATAGATCGAAAACTCTACGCTAGGAAATATAAAAAAAAATTTTACAAAAAGATAAAACTGGCAAACAGCTTAAACAGTGCGACATATATTACCTTTTTCGACATACAAAGTATCTGCATCTGGATGTCTTTCAACATGGATTATTTTGCCAACTCTCAGATCGAGTCTGCTAGCATCAACGGGGCGTGATTCGTCTGACTTGCCTATGGAAAAATCAATACTTATGTTCTGATTTGCTTACAGAAGATGATTTAGAAAATTCGTGAGATGCCATCAAAACTAACATCAACAAAAAGTGATCCTGAAGTGTAAGAATGAAACAAGTTTTAATTGGTAAGGAAAAATAACTTGGGAGCTTTGTTTCAGACAAATAAGCAGCCATCTTGTTTGTCTATTGTCCTTTTCTCTTGTTCTTCGTGAACAGGAAAAGATCACACAACAATAGAGCAATTGGAATACAGTTTTCCTAACTAGTATGAGATAAACAGCCTGTATAGGAGTGAAAGTACAACCTACATGACTGATCTAAAAAAATATCTAAGAAAATCTAAACAATTATTTTGTATCTCTATATATTTTCAAATTTTATTATTGATTTGGAAAAAAGGTACATTTTTTTGCAAGTATGAAGAGAAAACAATTAAATCAAAAGTTTTACCAAATATTTTAATATGATTGTCAATATAAATCTAAGTGATCAGTGAAAACCAAGTTACCAAGGGGTGTTCTGAAATTGTGCTGTACTTGGCAGTAGAAAAAATCGAATATGCTGTTACAAATTCTATTCACAAGCTCGTAGAGCAAAGCAAATCTGAAAAAACTACAATATTTACAACGATATAAAAATCAACACTATTCGAATGCTGTATTCCGACTGAATGTAATGTAAATCAACATTGAAAACGATTTGTGGGTAAGAATTTTTTGCTTTTCTTCAGTGGCATTGATGCAGTAATAATTTTCAATGACCACCTTTGAATTGAATTGGTAGTTATGATATAGTAACAAAATAGTATATTGTAATATAGTGGTAACCCATGACATCAGAAGGTTTTTAGCACTTCAAAGTTGGACCAAATAAATTTCATGCCAAATAAATATTCAAACAAATGACATGTCTTAAATAAAGCCGAGCCGGATATAATTTACTTTTACAGGAATCGTTTCCTTCGTGAGATAAAAAGGACCTGCAAATTTATGTTCAATTAAGATCTGCTGGCAAGTTTAATTTTGAGATACCTGTGTTTTTTCTAGGGACAGAAGGGTGATCAAGCAGCTAAAATGGCCCTAGCCAATCCAGAAAACTTTGTTTTGGAACCGCAGAGAGAGGGAGGAGGTATGGCTTTGTACCAAACCTCATGAATTTCTATATGTGCCTTTAGATAGAAACAAATTTGTGTCTGTGTTGATATAATAAAGCAAAAAATGTTATTCGCATACCGGACTATTTTAAATAGCACCAAATGACAACTCTATAAGTGCAAAATTAGACCTAATAAACTTCTTAAAGTTAGACCTCTGAGGAAGTTAGGCTTGAACATTGCACAACATTCGAGAAACAATGCAAAATGATAGTTATTTGATAGATGGCTTGATCACAACCAACTTTTGATAGTTTAAACTGTAGATTAAAAATCAAGGAGTTTTTTAAGTCTTTCTTAACATTTAACCTAGAATCTAAGAAAAACAAATATACAAGAACGTCAGTAATACCAGCGTTGTTCGGCTTTGATTTCTCCTCACTTGATTCCTTTGCCTTCTTTTTGTTGTTTACTTTCTTCTCATTTGCCTGAATGGGTTGAGTCTCGGTAGCAGCTCTGGTGTTGCTCTTGTCCTCTTCTTTTGGCAAATCAACAGGAGCGAGTGACACTGGCTTGCTTTTTGGCAATCGTATGCTTCTTGCTGTATGTACAAAATAAATTTTTAGCATATTTGTCATAAAAAAACTAGAGTGAACATGAAGAAGATTTGAATAGATTAAGAACGTAGATTTCTGTACTGTCACTTCACCTTTTATGTCCTTCGAATATTTATAAGTACTGAATCTTAATGAGTGCTGTATAATTATCCAATCAAACAAAATAAAGCAAATAAATATCTAGGGAACTGAAATAATTCCACGCGACTTCAAACAGTAGGCTCTTGAAAATAAAGACCATTTCAATATATATATATATGAAAAACCTCTTCAGCCAGATGCTGATGATGAATTCGTTATTTGTTTTTAAATAATTTGAATCGGTTTTCAGTTACAATGGCTTTCATTTCAGCAACTGAATGGAGTTAAAAGAAAGGAATTTTTCAGTTTGGTGCTACGTAAATATGACATCACAATGTACTTTGGATGACCTCGCCTTTGAAGGCGATGCCACAAATTCACACGTTGGCAATTCGCAAGATGCTAGTCATAAATGATAATAAATACAATTTTGTTGCATTTTGAGTGCAAATATCAAGCTCCCATTTGCATTTAAATAAATGTTTAGTAGAAAGAATTTTCTATCAGTTCAAGCAAAAGTACTTGAGGGAAAAGCTGCAAAAACTAGGCCATAGACAATTGACAACATACGGCTGAACAGGTCACCATTTCAACCAAAATGATAAAATCAAACTTGCACAGACTTAAAATCGTGCTATTCCTTTGAAAAACTTTAAAGACGGCAAACGGGATGCAAACATTGTGGCCACTAGTGTCTCCATATCTATTTGTCTTTGTTCGGTTTTTTTTAAAAGGAGCAACATTCCAGTCTTACAACTTAATAAACAATCAGAATTCTGCAACAAAAACAGCTTTATAAAAAGATAATTCACGCTGTAAAAGCTTAAGTTAATTTAAATAAACACAATTTTTGGCTGAAGAGGTCCTCTACTTATCTTTCTAACACAGATCCTTCAAATTCTGTTTGCTGCAAAAAATTCAAGTTGCTGTATTTATTATATACAAGAGTAATACAACTGTACCTCCATTTTGAACACGCAAACAATCCACATCAAACTTCAAGCCCTCAATTTGCTGCTTTAAGCTTTCATTTTCCTTGACAATCTTACATTTTTCAAGCTAAACAAAGAATTTAAATAGCATAAAATCAGCACATATTTACAAGCATGTCATAAGTGCATCAGCTCATCAAAGAAAACAATTATATATTGGACAACTACCGTAAATTCTCTTTTAAGCCACCCTCTCAGTCAAGCCCCCTTTCTCTTATTAGCCCCCCTTTTCAGAAGGAACAATTAAATTAGCCCCCTCTCAATTTAGCCCCTCCAAAAAATTTCACTGATGCCGAAATAAGTAAACTTGACAAAAACTTTAATTTATTCATTGGTCGTTCAATACTTCGCATCAAATCAAAATTCACACCATGTCTCTTCCAGTCACGACAGATCTGAAGACAAAGATTTAATGTGCATTAAGCATGGGCAATGTGAGAGCCTTTTACCAAAATTACAGGCTGTTGGTACTCCGAGGGATGAAGTCGGACAATAAGCCCCCCAGGGGATTAAAAAGAGAATTTATGATAAATGCATAAGATTAATTGCAATATCAAAGTACTGGAAATCATGATTTACTTGATAGAAATGCCAAAACAGTTGAAAAAACTTTTAGCTATTTTGATGATTCAAGATATTTTTATGTCTGAACTTAGAAATTAACTAATGAGCAGAACTGTCAATTGGATGCAAAGAGCATAAAAAGTACCTCTTCTCTTTGCCGTTTCTGTTCCTCTAAAAAAGAAAATTATTCCATCATCACTCTAAAATGATTGGAAATTACAGTGTATAGACCATTCTCCTTATTACATCAAACACTCGTTAGCACACAATGCATTCAATTACTTGTAGTTAAACCCGCCAAAATCTGACTAACCATCACAAAAAAACGAAACGAGCAGATAAAAATTCAAAGTATATCATCTTTTCCAAAGAAAAATCAACAAGATAAAAACTTTTAGCCTCTTATTATAAAGATGGAAATATTTCTGTTTTTTTTATTTTTCTTACACCTAGTACTAAGAACGTTTCTTAAATTTTGGCCATCCTAGTACTAGTTTCTCATAAACCAGTTTAAAAAATAAAAAGCCTGTAAAAGAGAACGAGCAATTCATTATTGATGGAGAAGATTATAGGCCTCAAACGATTCTGCAATTGACAAAGAAGGCAAGACCAAGCCTTTCAGGTTTATACCAAACTTTGGAATTGAACAGCTCCATGAAAGGCTCTTTGTTTAATCGGCAATTGTTCAATCAAACAATAAGCAGAAACACATCAAAGGCCTACAGAAACTAAAAAAACATGGATATGAACTATGAAAAGATGGATATGTATGTTAGATATTTGTGAAACGAGATGGGATGAAACTGCTATTTCTTTTGAAGTTATGTTATCAAAGTTTGAAAAGTGAAAAACATCACACATTTTTAAGCCATAAAGAGCCGTCTAAAGCTGATGAAGCATTTAGCACATTCAACTAAAATTTGTCTGTTTAAGGCCTTGGGCCAGTGGAATTTTATGCTGATTTATCAAATGGGTTGGAAAACTTCTGACAAGACAAACAATTGATTAGAATTTTCAATTGATTGAACAATTGAAAGGGTCTTTTCCCTCTGTAACATCAGTTATACAAGGCCTAGGTCATTTCATATCACATGTCACTGTCAAATTATCATCGAACAACTTTCTGCAGCACTGTTTGGCGGCAAGAGCTTTGAAAAAACTGGAGAGGCCCTTTTTTGGCACATCTGTCATATTTTCTCGGATTTGTTGGATAATTTGAACAAAGAGTGAAGAATAATTACAGAACTTCGAACCATCGCCATAGAGAACATAAACAAATGTTCACATTTTTAAATACATGTAACAGAATGCATTTCATGCTCACTGGAGCCGGTCTGGATTTCATGGCAGTTTTCGATGCGACCTCGGGAGTGCACAAGCTATTACCCGGGAGTGCAAGAGTGCATTTGTGATAAGTGCGCACATTTGAGTGTGCATCAATTTTCTCAGTGATTCTTGAGTGTGCATATTTTTTCCTCACTTTTCTTGTTTACTTAAATTTACATTTCAGGGATGATTGAGAGTTGAACTATGCTTACCTACCACTACCATCAGTGGCAGCTATCCAAATTCCTAAAGATTTGTCAGGTAAAGAGATTAATAAAAAAATGTTTAAAAAGGCCAAAAACAAGATAATCCTAAGACCTAAAGTATGATCTCAAGCAGGGCCCCCAAGAGGGGGACAAGGGGGCAAATTTCCAAAGGGCCTTGATGTCTAGGGAACCTTGTAAAGAGGGTAATTTCATTTTAAGAATATAATGAATCTGTTTATTGTTAAATGATAGTAAGCAGTTTATAGAATGGAAATGATAGTAAAACGTGACAATGAAACATTGAAACAAAGAAATATTGAAACAATTGCAAGTAAATGACTGCAAAGAATATTCTGAAGTAAATTTTAAGCTAATCTACAAAAACCCGGTCACAAAAATCTTCTTTACTTTTTTGCTTTTGCCCCAAGTCCACTGAAACTTTTTGGCAGCCCTGATGTCAAGTGGCTCACTCAATTTAGAATGACAAACTTTTTCCAATCTCGGTGGCGCACAAATTAAGAAAGACACTTTGCCATGCTTGAAAAAAACTTTTTTATTTCAGCCTCAAAAAACACAATCAAACAATGCTTTTCTTTTGTGTGTGCAAGAGTGCACCGGTTATTCTAGAAAAATTTCTCAGCAGTGCAGCTGCCATGGAATCCATACTGGCACTGGAGTATGGCATAATGATAGGGAAAGTTGACTGGGTAGCTTGGCCCTCGCTGAGTGTAACCAGAACTGATTACCACACATATCAAATATTTTTGGCTCTTTCATAGGTCTAAATTTCTTAAGTTTCCCTGGTAGGGTATGTTGTCTTGCTGTTGTAGGGTATGTGGAAAATCTCCCAGACTTTTCACAATCATTTGAATAAGTATCATTACCTTAGAATCCAAGGGAGAGAGATTGCACCAAAATTTCCTGTTCAAGATAAAGACGTGTTTAATCTGAGTAGCATTATATACACGATCTCTACATTAATAGTAGCTACATACAGCAGAATCGGGCCTGTTGTCGAGCAAACAGGAATCAATAAGGCCTAAAATTGAAATAGTACACAAATTACCGTAGGCTTTTTGCAAACCAGCAAGTCTTTGAGATAAAATCTTCACAGTTTGCTCGGCAGCAGCAGCATTTGACACCAGCTTGTCTAGAACCATTTTGATCTCACACTTTGCATGTGGACGTCGCTTTAAGAGAACAAAGGTGATTCGCCAGTTATTAAGGTGGAGCACTTTTTCAAGATTTCATCAGCCTGCTGAATGACAAAGAGGCCAGAAGAACATGCTACGCCTTTCCTTCGAATTCGTCACATGGCGCAAGCTTCAATAATTGTGGGATCGCAGATAGTAAAATCTAAAACCTGATCACTAAATAAAGCTGCAAATTTTGGAAACCATCATTGGTTTGAAATTTCTCATAGCTAAACATATACTTCGAACTTGAACAATGGCAAACCTTGGGCGATCAAGACTGATTGCAAGTTTTTTTCAGAAACAATTATCGTTAAGGGAACCTTTAGGCAATTTATTATGCAATATGCAAGCTGCAAGGCTTTTTAGCATCAATGGACAAACAAGACGTAGTAAAGAAAGCAATGCAAATGAAGAGCAAGCACCGGGAGAAGAAACAGAGATGCAGAAACTACTAGCAGAAAAAGACAAAGTTATTGCCGAGAAAGAGCAAGCGGCTGCAGATTTCAAGGTATTTTGACCAGTTGATTTCTGTGTAGTGTAGGCCTGAATGCAGGGAACAAGGTTAAAATTGGATAATTTTTATGCTAGAGAATTTCAGGGTCCAAGTATAGAATACAAATGCTTTATTTGGTTGGTGGAAAATATTTCTCCAGTGAAGTTTGATTGATATTAATTTTGCTGGGTTTCTTACTGATTTTTACCTGCATTGCATTCATCATACGTAAATACATTATTATAATAGAAGGTTATTTATTCACCTCTTTAATATATTCTACCCTAGGATAAGTACTTGAGAGCACTAGCAGAGAACGAGAATATCATAACAAGAAACAAAAAACTAATGGAAGATGCAAAACTGTACGGTATTCAAAGTTTTGCAAAAGATTTGTTGGAAGTGGCAGATATTTTAGAAAAGGCAACTGAAACTGTACCAAAGGAAGAATTAGCTAAGAACCCACACCTAAATAGCCTGTTTGAAGGATTAACAATGACTGGTACACAGTTACAAAAGGTATTTAAAACACATGGTCTAGAGAAGTTGGATCCAGTTGGTGAAAAATTTGACCCTAATTTTCATGACGCTTTGTTTATGCAGCCTTTCCCTGGCAAGGAGTCTGGAACTGTAGCAGTTGTTACAAAGATAGGTTACAAATTACATGGTAGACCATTAAGAGCAGCTCTAGTAGGGGTTGTGCAGTAAAAATTGTTTGAAATGATATGTTTCTGACCTGGTAGTGCATTATTAAAAATTGTGTAGTAACATATAAGCAGCAGCAATTTTGTATTTCAAGAAAAAAAGGAAACAAATGAAATACCTTATTCAAATATGGAAGATATTTCTGTAACATTCTACAAAATATATACAGGTTAAAAAACACTAAATTTATATCTAGAAAGAATTCAAAGGGTTACCTTCAAGTAGCATTTCTACATCAAACAACCTCCTCATGAAGTTTTTTTTAACATATAATCTTGGAGTAAAATAAAAAGTGGAAAACTGTTATAGATGCTTAATGAAGAAGCTTCATTGTGACTGGGAGTTGAATCTTAATCAACTTTGTAAGTGCCAATGATAATCAAAAATGTATTTTAGTGATATATAATATAGGTATGATTGTATCCTTTTGTTTCAAAAATACTTTTGTTTTAAATTCTTGCTACAAAATATTATAAGTATCACAGATAGTAAACAGAAACAATTTCATCAGATAGTCTATACTTTCAATTTAACTTTCTGGAAAAACAAGAACAAAACAAACTTACTGACATCTAAATTTAAACTTTCTGAACATACGATCAAAAGCAATGCATAATATACAACTACAAGATTAATTTGATTTATATTTACACTCGTGAATGGTTACTCAACACTAACAAAACCAAAGCAACTCTTTACAAAGGATGGTACTAGGCATACCTAGCTTAATAATTTTCATTTTTGTACCAAAAGCCAACCAAATGTTTATTGAAATTATTACTAAATATTTGTTTGTACAGAAAATGGAGTTTATAAAGGTAAAAAACTAATTTTTGTTTAAACAAGGTTGTTTCCATACATTACAAAACAGCAACAAAAATAATTTTCAGTGTTTTCTAGATAACTAACATTTTATACTGCTCTCTTTCATCTGTACAGTCTTTCTGATCTTTTCTACTTCTTCTTCCACTCTTCTCAATTCATTAACTGTATCCAATGGTGGTGCTTTTGACATAAGGGCATTCACCAATCTTTTCCTTTAAAAATAGTTATATAATCAAATTGTGAATACAAAGTAATATTGCTAAAGGATAATTTAAAGAACAGAAATGTCAACCCTAACAATCCTGGTGCAGCTGTGATCTAGCTTACCTAATTTTATGCTCAAGGGTAGCATATAATATATATTCTGAAGAAGCATATTGCGAAACGTTAATCAAGTTGTTTTTTTACTGATCATCTATTTAAATTTTTAAAAAACATTACAGTCTAGAGCTTTTGAGCACACACACACACACATATATATATATATATATATTATATATATATATAATATTATATAATTATATATATATATATATATATATATAGATACTCAATAAAAAAACAACTTGGTTGACGTTTCGCTATAAGCTTCTTCAGAATAACTAACACATACATCTGGAGCGTAAAATAAGGAATACGGAACAAAAGAACAAAAGTAACACATTTTACAAGCAAGAACAATAATAGCTAATTTAACAACATAATGATAGTTTCTAAGCACAGCCGGAGGTGAGAAAAGATGGATAAATACAATAGATCAAAGAACAATAGAACAAGTGTGATAGCAGATGGTATAGCATGCAGAAAGGTCCAAGGAAAAGGAACGGTAAATGCTGTCTGTCCCAAAAAAAATAAGAAACTAGGTAAATAAATATAATAAATATAGAATGCAAAGAAAAGAAAGAAAGTAGATAGAAAACGTGGAAAAAATAAAAATAAAAATAAACAAAAGTAACAAGGAGAAAATAAACAAAAAGATAGGAAATAAAAATAAAACTATGTGTCAACTAACCTAATATTAAGGCCCCGGGGCGCAAAAGTTTCTAACTTATACTGCCAGAAACTTTCACGTATCCTACCATTCCCATTAAGTCTATCTATAATAGTAACTTTCATATCTTCGAGAAACCCATGATGATCCTTCCCTGCAAAATGCCGGAAAAAATCAGCCTGAGGTACACCCGAAGAGCCCCCGATAAGCTTACGATTGCACGCCTTGTAGTTATTAAACCTAAGCCTAAAAGGCGTGCAAGTGCTACCCACATACTGTACACCACATACTTTACATTCCATAAGATACACAACATTGGACGAATCACAATTAAACGAAAAATTTATCTTATATTCCTTATCAGTTATATGGGAAGTGAAAGTATCAATGTCACACATAACATTACACACTTGACACCGAGACTTGCCACACGGAGTACAACCCTTGTTATGCGAAACCCCTGCCCCCTCACTATGAAGTTTAGCCCTAACTAGTATATCTTTAAGATTCTTACACCTCTTAAATGATATCAAAGGTGGCTGAGGAAACACCCTCCTATGCTCTTGCTCTTCTGATACTGTAAGCATAGAATGAAGTCTCCCGGCCACCTTGCCCAAATATATATATATATATATATATATATATATATATATTATAGGCAAACCACTAAAATCAACAGTGAATCATTTAAAAGCTATTGAATGTTAAATTTTTCTTTGGAAAAACAAAACTTTAAGAAAAAACTAGCCCAACATTACAACTAGTGTGTTCTTAAAAAAGAGGTCACAATACACCAATTCGACAATTAGCCATGGCAACTATTGATACTAAAGCTATACAAAAAACCGAAGACTTCTGTAATTGAATATGTAATACATACCTTCGAAACTGCATGGCTTGTAATAGCAGGCGGAGTTCCTCAAGTTCAAGTTCTAAAGTCTATAAAAAAGATATATAAATGTCAAAATTTCACAAGATGCATGCTGAAGTAATTTCAAAGGAAATTACTGTTATTCAAAAGCCATAGGTTCTTGCCAAGCAATAAAAAAAATTTCATTTGGTGGAAAATTTGATGTCATGACATTGGGGGCATATCTGAAAATTAATAATAAGTATCATAACAAAGAAAAAAGATATAATGCTTGAAACATTTGACAATTTTTTTGTTACATCATGACGATTTGATAAATAAACAAATCAGATATTAGACAATTCCTTGTTTTACCATTAAATAGACAAGTCAATTATATTAAATTAATTTAAACATTTCAACTCTAGCTAGAGTCATCTTCAGTATATAATTACAGTCGAAAAAACAACTATAAATGCGGAAAGGTTAAACAAAGGGAATCATAAACCATGCAATAAAGCTGTACGCCAGAGAAGCAATCAGGATGTGAGAGAAGACACAAGGAATAATAAACAAGCTAAAGAGAAAAACAAGGAATAAAGGCACACCAATGAAAACAATGCGAGTAAGAAAGTCAGAACAGAATCATAGGAATAGCGGATTGTTGGGAATTAAGCGAAGGTCTGTCCCCGGGTATGAGAAGGCTTTCATGAATAAGTAGATCAAAGGAATTAATTGTTTTGGAGAGAATAGAAAAATTTTCAACAGATGCTATGTGCCTAGTTCTACAGATATGCTCGTTATGAATGGAGGAAGGGCTAGAGGTTTCAACACATTGCCCATGTTTGTTGATTCCTAGGTGCCCTCTATAACAAATAATGAGATTGTGAGATGTTTTACCATAATAAGTGGCGCTTCAGCCACTACACATAAACTTGTAAATATCTGATAAAGTAAACTTGTAGGAATTAAACAACACTTGGTATAGTTTTGCCTTAACTTGCTTTTTGTTAAGGAATACCTTAACAAAATGCTGAAGACCCTGGTGTAGTTTTCAGTTGTGAATTTGTTGCCTGGGTTGTTTGTTTCTGCTATATGAGTATATTTTGCTTCCTCAAACAAGAATTGTTAAGTCCAGCTTTAATTCCAATTTGTCATCATCCCTTCAGAAGAATTTGAAAGTCAATATGATATGTATTATACAAGTACTTTGCAAAAGTAGAAAACATCCTCAAAATATGAAACTGCATTGAAAAAATAAAAATTACCAAGGAATCACTTTCTACATCTTCACTTTCTGAAGCTATTGACTCATTAGTCTGAAAAAGAGTGAATGAGTTACAATGATTAGTGGCTGACATAATTATTTGATCTTGTGCAAATTATTGTCAGAGTCAGATATGGGGTTGGATATGGGGTGATATGGGGTCAGAACAGGCCTCTCCGTTTAAGGCGCGCGATCACGCGCGCGCGCCTTGGCACGCTCCTATCGTTGCCGAGACGCGCAATAAATCACGCGCCTGGTTTATAAGAACCCTTTAAATCGCGCTCCTTGTGTTTTAGTTTTGAACAATTATTATACAAAGAGCCTTGCGGATTCGAAATCGATTGATATCTAAATAAACGGTTGCTTCTTTTAATCCCTTTTTCGAGGAAATTGTTATTGCCAAGTTAAATCAAACACCTCTTGAATATATTTCCGGTCAATAACCAATAAACTGTCATTGTGATTCCTGATTGTTATAAGTTTTTTAAATGGCCATTAATTCAAAGGACCAAGCCATAGAGCTATCTGCTTTCGCAAGTATCGCAAGGACGAAGTTAGCGGATCAAAGACCGAAGATAGGAATGGGAAGACAATTGTAAAGGAAGTGCCAGGAAAGCAGTTGAATCATACGTCAATGGAACGAATTTCGACTCTTCCACTTTTTCTGACTCCGATTCTTCATCGGAATTTGAGCTGGACATTGACGAACTGCAACAATAATGTGCTTTTTTTTGCTTTTAGTGCTCTATTAAGTAGTTTGTTTAGATATTTCTAGATACAAAGTATTTACATGCGAAAACATGCCGTTTCTGTCTACTTTAACGTAAATATATTTTTTTGGTAGAACGCGCGCCTTAGCAAGGCGAGGCGCGCGTTTGAGCACGCGCCCGCTAAAATGCTCACGGAGAGGCCTGGGTCAGAACAATCAAACACAGAATCTATCTGCTATTGAATATAAAAGTTTAAAAAAATGCCAAGTTATAGCTGGAATACACATAATTCAAACTCATCTTTCACAAATATCTTGCTTAGAGAAAACAGAAATAAAGTGATGTTATTTCTGGAAAGAAGGCTTGTTGGTAACATGGTCATGCCCTAATTGAATATAAAAGGGAAGCTTTGAAATGTTAACAACATCATACTGGGTAACAAATATTAATCAACAAAGCATTGGGTGTTCACTGCAAAAACTTTAATCTCATTTCAAAGCTGTCCTTTTATATTCAATAAAGACATGACCATTTTAGCAACAAGCCTTCTTTTCAGATTATCAACATCATACATTTATCAACATTTAAATTATGTTATTCATATTATGCTTTAAATTTTTGTTAAATTAACTAAAGGACATGACACAATCAGGGTAATGAACTAAAGGATGGGATTTTGCTCCTGACATCCTGTTTGTTACACAGCTCTTGCTGAATATCACAGTTAACAGAAAAAAGATTTACCTCCCAATAGTCTGCAGGTGAATTCTTATAGCAACTAATTTCATCCTTTATAACTGTCTTGAGCATTTCTGATTTATGCTTGAAGGCATCCAGGATTTTAGGCAAGCTTGGAAAATAAAATAACAAGGATATTCAAATAAGAAAAAATATCAAAAACTCAAATCAATAGTCTTAAACTCATTTTTTTCTCAGATGAAGAATTTAATTTATTCTTAAACAGTCTTCGTAATAATGAAATCACCATGCGTGTGGCAAAACACACAAATTATTTCTTTCATGCGTGCGATTCACAGTCTTAAAAATCAGGCTATTTCGGACCCCGTGTACACAGTCCTGTTCAAAAACGGAACTGCGACGGTACAAAATTCGTTCTCTTTGTAACAGGTTCAAAACCATTCCGGATGGCAGAGCAAAATTAGCTCGGCTCCAGAGCGCTAGCGTAAACGAAAGGGCGAACCGCGACCGTTTTTTCACAGTTCCAAACTTGCACGCAGGGCCACCTAGAGAATCTGGAGGCCCTGGGGCAAAAGCGAAGCGAGCAGCAAAAATTTCACGACCACGACCTTTAAACTAGCTTAAATTCGTTCATTCGCTCAAAATGTTTTACTGTTTATGGGCATAATTTTGGTATTTTTAATCAATTTTATTTCAAAACAGAATTCATTACTTTCTAAGGCCCCCTACAGCCCTGGGGCAATTCGCAGAGAGCTTCAGTGTTCATTCCGAGAACATTCGACATTTTAGGACAACTATAGGGAAATGTTGATTGGTACAATGGCGTAGATAAAGAGGGGTCAACGGGCGGGGCGAAACCCCCCCTCCCTGTACAGCTAAACTGCTGTTGTGTCGGAAAATTTCTTTCAATAAGGTATAGAACTTAAAATGCCTTTTTTTAGAGGAAAAGGTAAGAGAAATCTACGAGTAGTATGATTTATGACACGTGACTTACGTGAAGTTATGTACAAAATTTTGAAAAAATAAAAGATCTTTTTAATTTTTTGTCGGAAAATCGAAATTTATCGTGAATTTTCCTATCTACACCACTAGATTAGTATTAACATTGATTGTCGGGAAATCTTCTTTCTGCGGGTCTATTCGTCGCCTGCCTCTCTGTTCTATGATGAAAAAGCCCATCTTCCTTTGAGCAATTTTATCGATATTTTCCCCGCTAATGGCGAAAATGGGAAGGTAAAAATCTTGGACACTACCTAACGACCGCCATGTTTCTGGGAGAATTTGAACAAAGCAAAGCGATAAGCCACGATAGAGAGCAAAATAGGCACTATTTGAAGAATTAGCCGATGTTGATCAGCTAATGAAAAACAAAACTTCTAATATTTCGTTGAAGAAAACAATTTTATTCAGGTAAAAACGACGGTCAAATATACAACTCATGCGTGCGATCAATCGCTCGCATTATTGGTACCATCGCGTGCGATCGCACGTATTAAACGACGAAGACTGCTTAAAAACAAAATTATCTTTAGTTTTAAGGCAAATGAGTCCTCCATTTTCGCACAGATCTATTATTATCAGTGGGGAATTACCTTTCAGAAAATCAGATAAAACTAGTGATTCAAAAGGGACCCACAACACATGACCCACTTAGTGCAGCATTACTTTAAACAGGAATCACAGAATATGTGGGCAGTGCAAGAGGGCTTAGGCCTCAAATAATTTCCTAAAGCATTTAGAACCCTAACACTGTCTCGTCTTTATGCATAACGCATTCTGAAACTTTGTACTCTCTTACCCTCTAACCCATTATATGCTACCCAAACTTCAAATTTCCCTCTCTTGTTTTATTCTACTTGCTGATTCCCTTTAGGTTTTGCTAATCATTAAACAGTTATATCAATAACAACAGTGTGCAAAATCTTAAGTAATAGAAATGGAAAATTACCTTTCAAGCTCGTATAATGTCAAAAATTCTTTGACTTCTCCATCACTCGCCATGTCTTTTACTTTTTCTCTAAAACAATACGTTAACAATAAAAGGCTCTGCAGAAAAACCTCTTCCAATACTGGATTCTGTCAGACAACTTTACACCTTAAAATAGCGCAGAAAGCAGAAGTACCATAAATCCTCGAATTGACCCACCTCGAAAAAGCCCCCCCCCCCTTGAATAAGCCTCTTCCTAGAAATACAAATTTTCATTAAGCCCCACTCGAATAAGCCCCTACTGCTTTCTTAAATCCTCAAATTGGCCCCTTTTGATTTGTTGATTTTTGCTAAATTTGGGATGAAACCAATCTGAGACATCTCTTTGCTTCTGTAATTAGTTGAACCCCTTACAAAATGAAAACGCTGTGCAGATTCGATAAAACAAAGGCAAACTACCTGCAGTATAGCATGCTGGTGCACTACAGCATTCCCATATGAACAGTGCCCCAAATACAAGATGAAATGAAAACGGCAACAACAACATGTAAGGTGTTATCGTTTAAACAGGGCCTAAGAATTTTTCCTGTAAAGATGGTAACTCGAAGCCTTGACAAGGCGTGTGATAATCTTCACACAATTTATATTTTGCATTTTTTTAAACTATGTGCTTAAAATTACCTAAATATTCAAGTATACGATGTACGGTGTACGCAAATGCAGTGTACGCAGATATTTTTAACCATTCAGATGACAGAAAGGACTGCAGACCTAATGCAAACATTAGGCTTAGATGAGCAGGGATTTTAGAGCACTGCAACAACATTTTCCAATTAAAAATATTTACTGTTAGCTTGAGAAGTTTTGACAATGATCATATTTATTAGTTTATGCACTTCTTAAGGTCGAACAGCATCTGAGTCATGTGATTTTATTGCATGAAAAGGTAGGTAGGTCAACTTACATTTCAAGGCTTTCAAACAGGGATTCATTATCTTCCCTGGTGATGACAATCGATGTCACTGCAACCTTTTGTTGTCTAAGCTGCAAAGGACGAGTAAAATTTAATTTCACATTATGCTTACGGGTCTTTCATGAAGTGCTTGGTTCTGTATAGGCAGAGCTGTACACTCTTTTTGGTGTATAGAATAGGACATATTAAGTTGCCACTGCAAGTTTCGTGCTTAGTCTGATCATCGGGCAATGAGCGTAGTGTAATTTCAGCTTAATGTGTTTTGAAGTATAAATGTATGGTTTACAACATTTTTCTTCATCTATAATCGCTTATCCAGACTGTCATTCTACTTAAACTGGTCAGGAAAATCATTACTTTTAAGATTAAAGACTAGCATAAGGTAAGCTATTCGTTGTTTGTCTTTATGATGCCAACTTCCATGACTATTTCAAAATGAGCAACCAAAGCGCTATGTACGTTTTGTAACTTGTAAGACTTCTGTCTTACAGCTTGCAACTTTTGTTGTTTTAAGGGAATCTTCAGCCAGTAAGACCCATAACATAATAACTTACCATTTGCCTTAGGATATCTTTGTGCCAAAGGAGAGCTGCCACCTCACCTCGTGTTACATATGGCTTGCCTTCATAATTCAAAATATGCAGCTGGTATGGTTCTGGAACTTGCAGCCTTGAATGAAAACAGAAAGCTACATTTTTGAGTCTTAGAAAGCTTGGTCAATTGCCATTGCAAGCAATTTGAAGAATAAGATTCCTGAAACAGACAATAAATTTTAAAATGCTTTGAAAATTTATCACCCACAGTACTAGAGAAGAAAGTGTAGAAAACCTTAAGACCGTTCCAGACAGATTCAACGTTTCAATTTTTAGACCTAGAATGTTTACCCAAAAGTTTTGCTACATTTTTTGCACAATGACAACTTACAGGCTTTTTCAAGAAACTAGAGGATTTGTTGCAGCAACTTTGTAAGTTATAAAGGACTTCAAATATCCTAATTTGTGCAATGCTGTGGAAAGGGCATTCAGCGTCTCAACCCTTTTGCTCAACAACTGTTGGCTAAGCATGAACCATGAAACCATGGAATAACTCTGTTTTAGCAAAAGAGAATGAAAAAGAAAAAACATCTTGGCACATTCTGTTGAGATGTATCTCGAGAAGAGGAGTAAAAAAAGTTGTTAAGATCGAAGATTGAAAGGAAGACATCCAGTAAAATATATGTTATACCCTGAGGTACACAAGCAAGTTGAAATCATTAACTCTGAGAATTCAGATCAATCTGAGACAGCCACAAAGCCCAATAACAGTTTCATTAATACTTGAACTCCAAAGATTGTGGCATTCTTTCGACATACTTTGAAAGACACTTGTTACATAGTCCCATGTGTAAATCAGAGCTTTGTTTACCTCCTAATAGACTTTAATAAAAATTACTTTTAAATAATATTGCAGTGATTTCTACCATTTTCTTTGACTTCTAGACCATTTAAAGAACATTATATGTGTTCTTGATTTAGCTCGCCTGAGCAACTGAGCAATCAAGCGATTCACAGCTCACCTACAAGAATATAAATGTCTAGGCCTGCCAGTAAGCCCTAGACTTTGGGCCACTCAAATACTCTTACAAAGATGAATTAATCTATAAACAGACATGGCCATAAGAATTTTGGCAGGCAGGCGGTAAACTGCTCTCCATATTTGAGTCAGGTGGCGAATTTTACAAAATGTAAAATTAATCAATAAAGTACTTTGAAGGCATTTATAAAATACAAAGCAAGTTAGAAAGAAAATATCAAAGGCAAGAGGTCTTAAAACAAAAACTGAAATATAAAATTGTGCAGCTTAGGTTGTTGATATCGTGTTTTATTTAAATGCATGACTTGTTTAATGATGTGGTGTTCTTGGTGTTCAGTCTGCGAGATAGTCTCAGTAAAAAGATGTCAAGGCATGATAGTTCACAAAGTGACCGAATATCAACGCCAACGCTAAGGATCAGGCCAGATCAAACAAGTGCTTGGTAAGAAAACTGTGTTTGCTATTCTTACAAGTAGTTGAGGAGCGGCCAAAATGTTTTTAGAATAGACAAAAAATCTGAATTTCAAAATGTATTTGTATATGAGTAGACAGGGCATTGAAAAACGCACAAGAGACAAAATTCAAACTTAGCAGTAATTCGTGGAAAATGACACTTGATATTTCTATGCGATCAACATTAACAAAATATGTTTTCCAAATTGATAGAATTTTAAGATGTAACAAGTATTCTGTAGCTTAAGATGCCAGGAAAATCCAAGGTGGGCAATGAAAAAAAAATTGGTGGAGAGGCGGGTGATTGATCGCCTTCCCGAGCAATTTAGGAGGGTGCTGGAGGGCAAGAGGTTGATCGCCTGCCTGAAATGGTCAGACCTGTTGAAAGGCAAAAAGTTAGGCCCCTATATTACGTGATGGTATTTCCTCAAATGATAGATAGAGGCTCGTGACCTCAAACATAGAACAAAATCCCTAAGTATAATTCCAACCTAGCAACCAAGCTTTCAACAGTCATGTGCTCTCGTTTCTGACTGGCCTATTTCGATCCACAACTGGGTATATATATTTCCTAGCGTAGAGTTATCGGTCTATGTTTTGACGTTATAAACTCTGAACGGTATCAGACGAAAAGCTTCAGTTTACTCAAATGTTTGTTTTTTTCAAAGCCACTTTCAAAGACTGATGAAGTTGGTTGACAATGATGGTAATAAAGATTATATAGATGATGTTGTCAAAAAATGCAAAAAAATAAATCAGGCAACCTTTTGAATTTGAGCATATCACTAGGTCTCCTCTCCTCATCAGCTGATTCTTCAGCAGTCTCATTCTCCGACCTAACTGCAGCTTGCTCTTCTGCTTCTCTTGGTTCAGTGCCATTATTGCCCAAAACTTGTTCATTTGTCTCCTCATCCGAGCTGGTCTTTCCATCAAGCTCTGAATTGATACACTCTATTAACGAGTCTATACTTGAGGTCTTTTTAAGCTCCGATGGCTGTTCTTGCTCATGCATCTGAAATCCGGCAACTCCTGATGTAACTGGGTTGAAGACAAAGTGCTGTGGTTGATATGTTGCTGGCAGCGTAGCTGGGAGACTGCTCATTTGTATCAGTCTTAAAATGTAAAAATGTTTTGTCAATGATAGAATAATATAAAATGCAACGCATCTATACTTAAAGAACATAATTTCAAAACATTTGATTACCAAACCAAAATTCATAAGCTTTACCTCTGTTGCTGATTTATTACAGCTTGCTGCATGACTTGGGCAGGAAAGACTTGTTGACCTTTAAAGAAAAAATCAGCAATATGGTATTTACAAAAAATTATCTTTGTAACTGCCAAGCTCAACTAATGCAACCACATTCAAATTGATTGCCTGATAATTTAAAGTTTTCCAGTTTCAAACACACATTTTCCTATTTCAATATCTAAATTTTATTTAAGTTTATTCTATGTTGTAGTAGCTATTTCAAACTTTTCATCATTCAAACAATTTTTGCTTTCCCAAGAAAAATAAGTTATTCTAATCCATGGCATTTTTGGTGTCCCTGACTTACCTCTAGACAAATATGTACAACTTTTAAAGGTACTTTGTCCCGTCAGTCAAACATTTAGAGTTAACGATAGGCATTGCAGTTCGCTTATGATCGAGAAAACATTGAGAATTAGCTGGCTGAATACGTAACAATAGGTTTATTGTTTAGTCCAACAACCAATGAGAAATTTAAATGGCCAGCGAAATGCATCAGGATATGTCCTTTTAAGCACAGTTGCGGCACATGCGTGGTACTGAAATGAAAACTTTATAAAAAAACTCACTTTGCTGCATTGATGAATAAAGCATGTTTGTCAACTGCATGGAATTCATCAATGCAATCTGCTGCTGTAGTGCCTGCAAACTTGCAGCATTATTAGCAAATGGCGTTGTTTGAAGCAGAGGTGAAATTGGATTTGGCATGAGAGGAGACACCGGTTTTGCAGCCTGACTTGCTTGTCCCATTCCTAGAAAATATGCAGCAAATGAAACACAGATTCTATTTTGTACTTAATGTTAAAACAACACTCAAAATTCCAAAAAATATTGTACAACACATACCGTAAAAATATATCACACCTTCAAAATATTTGGTACTGGAATAGCATCTAATGACCATTTCTGTGTGTTAACGTTTTCAACACACACGTGTGATAAAATTTGGTGCAAAAACAACATCAAGATATGAAAAAACCTTTAGGACACAATAGAAAAAATGCTGAACAATTTTTGTGCTAAGAACGTGCGAAGAAATATTCTTTCATCCTCATTATAAGTGCTATCAATTCATGTTTATTCTCCAAAAATACTAAAACACGTAAAATTTTTTTCCACAAATCTTCTTAAGGCCTTGTTCAAAGGGTTTTATGACTAATGAGGATCAGAAATTGCATAAAGCCCGTTTTTTAATTCACAAAGAAAATAAAACGGATAAGAATACTACTTAAATTTTCAAATACAATTACAGATAAGTATTTCAGTCTATTGAGAGAAGCACACCCAATACGCTCTTAAAAAGATCTCTTAAAGTAAATATTTGTACGTATGTATACATTCCTCTGCATATTTGACTTCACAAACCTTACAATAAATACTTTAAGAGTCATAAACGTTATATGTGTATACAAATGTTACTTTCCATTTAACTGCAGATGCATCAGAGGCTCTCTTTGCATCTTATCATAGCAGGCAAGATTCTCAACAACCAATACATCATTTATGTGGACAGTTCTATTGAAATTTGTATCAGCAAGATTCAATGACAGAATTCCATCCTAAAAAATTAATGTGAATGCAGGGGTGGATTCAGAGCAAATTTGAAGGAGGGGCATTCGGTAGGGAGGCGCTGGAAAATTTCCAAAAATTGGTGACGAGAGTACGATTGTATACAACAACTTCAGATCCATTTTCAGAATAAACATTATAACTTTGAGGTAATCCTTGAAGCAAATTAACCTATCGGTTTCAGAAACTTTTTCACCTGATTCTCATTCTTCAAAAGGGGCGGAAATTTCTAAACTTACTTCAACTCGTCGAGGGAGAGGCAACTGCCCCTAGTTGCCCCCCCCTCCCTTAAACCCGCCACTGTGTGAATCTCAAAGTAGCTTTGCCCAACAAGATGGCCAGGATGCAGTTTAGGTTAGTACCCTTCTCATACAAGGCCCAAACGGAAACTAAAATCCCCTCATATTCACCAAGTTTATAAGTGCAAATCATCATGCAAGTATTTATGTAATTTATGCAAAGATCCGGTTCTTTATTAAGTGTTATATTCTCTTTCTCAAGTCCATAACATGACAATCAGGGCATTAAATAATTTTGAAAATGATACGCAAGAGCAGTCAGTGCACACATAAATGGCTTTTGTAAACAGCCAGTCAGTCTTTGATTCAATTATTGTCAATGAATGTCAGATCTGAAACCAGATTCCCTGTACTCTGGGGGTAAAGGATGTTGGCAGTGACTATAATTCCCTGTCTCTCAAGTAGTCACGCAAGACTCTCAAGTAGTCCTTAGCACAGGTAGTCACTCAAGATGTCACACAGACCCATAGCTGTATCGCTGAGTATTGACTTTGTCAGTGGTCTTTCGTTTCAAGAAATTTTAAAGTGGGTGTTTAATATAACTTTTTCTTTTTTCCTGATTTTTGGAAATCAAACAGCTATAGATAGCACCTATTTGAAGGGTGCACCTAAATTTGAGGATGGGCTTACATTAAAATTCCAACAATTTCAATCACACTTTTTGTTAGAGATTTGATAGAAAATCAGTTTGAAGTATCAAAGCTGCCTTAAAAGAATTTAATGCCTGCAAAGAACATGTTATACAATCATGCCTAGTACAGGTGCACAACACACTCTTAACTTTAGATGCCTGCTCGAAGAATAAAATAGCTGGGTAGGGAAAGGATTTGAAAAACATCAATTACAGAAAGACCATTTGAGATGCAATTTGGATCAACAAACAGTCTTTTGCAATAGCTTTTCAACAGGAGCAGAGTATATTTTTAGGAATTTTTATCACTGCATATATTCAAAATTTTTGAAAATTTGGGTGTCACCTTTAGAAAATTTTCATGACCACACCCGTCGAACTAACTGGAAAATGAAAAAAACTCGATAGCTTTTAGATCCTGAACAATTTTCAAGAGGTTTCATAGATTATGATCACTGCTACTGTTATGTTCTCGTTTTTATATTGTAATTCTCTTTTGTAAGCTTTATGTGTCTACTGGCAGTTGCTGAAATTTTGCTTTTTCAATGCCAAAAAACTCTATATTCTAGTTTCATCACTGCACAAAATTTGAGTTTATCACTGCACAATAACGATTTATCACTGCACAATAACGATTTATCACTACACAAATTGGTTATCACTGCACGTTAAAATAAACCCTGAACAGGAGCTTAATGTAGTTACGAACACTCATTAACTTTGCGTATGTGAAGGTTGATAAATCAACAGCTGGATGTGATAGAATATGTCTTAATTTGCAAAAAGGTACCACAATAAATTGCACCCATGCAGTTGCAAATTTATGAATAAGCCCCCACCCTAAAGAATTTTCCATGAATAGGCCCTCTTCCTCCAAGAAGCCCTGAACAGCAATAGGCATAGTATCCTGGTTTATCTTCATTTCTAAGCGCACTGACAAGCCTTAAATTGAACAAGAAAATTGGCCCTGTTCAAACCTTTGGTGGTTGCTGTAAGAAAGACCCCACCTTCGAAAAAGCCCCCCTTAAAAAAAACCCATTTCAAAATATTGTTTGCCAAAAAAGCCCCTAGAGCCTATTTCGAGGACTGTACATAATAATTACTTTACATAACTATTGTGAAAACATAAAGCCATTGGCAATTTATTCTAAAAACTCCGCCTTTCTGTCATTTTTACTCTTTAAAAATCTTATGTGTATACTTGACTGCAGGAGCAATCCTTTGTCTATTTGATTCAAAATTGATATAAATTAAACAGTAAGAGGATGTCAAAGACTATATTATCTATTCATCAAACTTTAAATAACCCTGAAAATGGAACTATTTCGTGAAAAATCTATTTGATGCAAAAACTCTGAATAACTAATACAATTTTTTTTGATTAGCTTTTAATCAATTGAACTGTAAGCTACATGATAAAATTTAAGGTGGCACACGCTAAAAATAAAGAAAAAATGGCTGTTTATAAGCATAAACTGCTTACCTCATAATTGTGAATCTTGCCAAGTAAAACTTTATCTTTGCTCAATTCAAAGAACCGTGTAGATGCCTCTTGTGCCCATGTGTTCTGCCAAAAAACGACCTTGCATCAAAAATACATACTCGTTTCATAGAAATGGAACGAAACTATTCAATGCTGGTTTAATATAAGATAAAGATGAGATATTTAATTCTATTGACATATTGTCAAACAAACTTTAGCGAATCAACACTTGATGCCTGATCGTGAAAAGTTAATTGAACTGCAAACTATTCATTTGAATTAACTATTTATAAGCTTAATTTTGCTTATTATGGTAGCTTTCTGAGGTAAAGGCATTGATGTTTGCATGTTTTAAATCTTAGAATACTCCTTTAACTTTAGCTACTATGCAGAGCTTTTTGGAAACCAAGTAAACAAGTTGACTACTAAAAATTCCCAAAGAGCAAAAAAAAGAAACGCCATGCATTTTCAAGGTGAAAAAATGATCAAAGTACATTGAAGAGTAATTATACATCGTTTGAAAAAGTTAGTAAGAATTACAACAAGAAAGCAAGATATCAAAAAATTAACTTAATCAGTGTTAGGAAGGAAAATAAATGCTGATCAAATGAAATTTAATCAGTTGGGTGCATTTAATTTGCTTTGAGTCCGAATTATCGAGCTTATTTCGTATGTTTTCTTCTCCCGTACCTCCCTCCCCTTTTGATATCAAGCGTATTGTGTTTTTTCAAATACTTGTATATTCCATTGTATTAGGCTAGGGCCTATTTACATCACGGGACTCATTTCAAAGTTCTTGTTATTTTTCGTTTAGGAAAGGCTAGGCTCTTAATTCAGTCATGTTTTCTCTTTCCCTCTGATATCTAAGGTAACTAAGGTAGAACTGGTGCATCGGCTCTCTGGTGGGGAAAATTTTTTGCTTTCCATTCCCTGCCCAGAACTTCAAGCTGCTTGTACTTGGGTCTATTAAGCCATATCAAAGGTTAGGTTTTTGGATTGGTTAGGTGAAGCAACTTGTGCTGATGCACCAAAAGCCTAAAGTTGCTTCCTGTGATGAGAGGATGAGCCTCAAGACCTGATTTGATGATAGATGTGGCAATGTTTTATGAGGCTATATTATTTCAATTGGTGGAATGCATTTGTTGATGTTTTTCTCCGAATAAAAAATTAATCAAAGATAAAAAACAAGATTTCATTAAATATATGTTGTGAACTTAAAAAAAGCTCGATATATTCAGTGACATTTGGAAAATCCCCATCCGAATTCAAACCTTCCCAAGACTATTTGCATGCAAGCAATAGACAACAAGCGAAGTTCAAGATATTATTGGGTCTTAGGGGAACCCTGAACCCCCTACCTTTGGCATGACTTCAAAAGAATTGTATTCTTACCGAGTTGAGGGGCTTGATATTCGCGAGAGATCCTTTGAGGCCCATGGCAGGCAGCTCAAGAAAGTCCTTTCGTAGCAGCCTCAGGTTGGTTGATCTAACAGTCGCTTTGTCGCCGTAATCTGTGAAGATGACCTGAGAGCAAAACACGACCAAATCATTGGTTGAGAATACTTTCATGAAGAAACTCTAAGCTTTACAATCACAAGAAATTAAACAGATATCATTTTGTTCAAGTGTCATGAAAATTAGTGAATAGAGTTAAGCTACTCTGTCTTAAATATATTGTTAGCATTCCTTATAATAAATATTTCATAAAATATATCATTGCTTGATAAGAATTATATGCTGGAAACTTCGCATAACCAGAAGATTTGATATTTATTTAATTGTTGAAATAGCATCACACACCCTGACGTGTGCTTTAAAAGAAAGGAATGAATCCGATGTTACAAATCGTTGTTGATTCTTAAACAATATAAAAACAATATTCTCAGTTCTTGTCAGTTATGCGAAGGAAACCTAATCACATAGCTAGTTTTCTTACAGCAAGTACGGTTACTCCAAACGGTGGTCATAGATCAAATTACTCTACTTAAGAGATTAACTGTACTTTAAGCTTGATGGCAGTTAATTTAGCAATAACTTTCTCAAGGAAAGCAACAAGTTACCTCAACTTCTTCACTATCTGAAAGAGAATGAACAATCATTGCCCTGTACCATTCACCATCTTCTTCGTACACCGCACAGCAGACCTATGCATGGGAAAGTATTGCTTAACAACATAAAGCAGACACCAGACTTATTGTAAACTGTGTGTTATAACAACACAACATATTGCCAACTTTTGCTACAGTTTCAATAATATACAAGAATAAAGAGCGATATTGCTAGAGTACTAGCAGCATAGTGTTTCGATTCACTAGCCATGCGTATCTCAAGTCAATAAAAAATGAAGCTTATGGCCATGTTCACCCCATGCATGCTCACCACAAAATGTTGCTACCCTACAACTGAAGTCATTTTCTAAAACTTTGCGAAGTAAAATAACAATACCTGGCCAGTTTTCCGATGACTTGCAGGCAACATGTAATTTTGAGAAGAAACAGTTTTATAGAAATCGCTACAAAACAAACATATTGCAGTTAAAATTCAGTTTTAAGCCAATGACAGTTAAGAAAAAGGAAGCGTGGACGCTATGGTCTTGTGATAAATTTTAGTGTGAATTTGTGCTTGTAAATATTAATGGCTTTTTAAATCATCAGTTCAAAACATCAAAACATACATTCTAAACAAATTGCATTGTTATAGACCAATGAAATGGATATAGGTTGTGCTGTATAGACATATAAATTAATTCTGGTTTTCTCCTAGGCTGATTCAGTGTAGGCACATCATCATTTCAATATCTGCACATCACAGTAGCTTCCTGATTAGAAACCTCAACTATCCAAAAACAAAACTGCCCACTCTAAATTCAGTTTCCTGTCACTTTCTGTATTTTCAACAGGGTGTTTCTATGAATAAAACAAATTTTAGGTCTTTTTATGCTTAAGTTACAGCCTGCCACAAATGCTAAAAATGTTTCGCTAGTTTTGGCAAAGACAGAAGTCGTCTTATCTCCCAAACAAGATATAGGGAAAACATTTTGGAATCAAAATCGTCGTCGGAAGTAGACAAAACTGTTTTTCATGAAAACACAGCAGGCTTGAACCTGACGTCCTTTACTCTACCATAGCAATTATATAGTCAAATAGAAAAAGAATGCAGACCTCATTTCACTCATCAGTCTATCAAGAGATGCCTTCTGCTTACACCAATGAAAATAAAAGCAGTCAGGGCTGTTTATCTGGACAATAAATATTTCTATTTGTCCTTCTGTTGGATGCGAAAGCTTCTGATAAATTCCGTCATATTTCACAGCATCAGGTGGCAGCGGATCTTCTTCTCCAATTTCTTTGACTAAAAGTATTAAAAATGTTAACTTCATGAGCATCAGTATATACTAAAATATATCAATTCCACTATGACACTGTATGTTACAATTCTAACTGGGGAGCCATGTCCTGCTACAATGTTATTGCACAGCAATGAGATTGTAAAACTTAAATCATCAACACTGCAAGAATGCATGCATGACAAAAAGGTTTTTGTAAAGATCACATTAAGGGCAGAGTCAGGGCCACTTTTTTGCAGAGGGCTTACATTGCCTATTCCACACCTGCGTGGCTTTGGCAAGAAAAAATAACCTTGCGGTGTTGCCACCCTTGCATATTTGAAAAATTCATGCTAACCTGCTGCTGCTGGAATAAGCAACCAGTCGCCATTGTTTACAGGCCTCTCAATTTTGACAATATCTGGTATTGAACCCATCATTGTTATCAGACTGTAATAGCCAGCTCCAGCCATGTCAAGCTCTTTTTTGTAGCATCGCTTCAAGGAAATACAATTAGTTGACGCAAATGCCAATGCAAAGGAAAATATCAAACAAGAAACAACAAATCTTCTTGCTTATAAAAGAACAAAAAACACATGCTAGCTTACAAATCTAGCTTACAAACCAAATCTAATTTTCTTCAAACAATGTCAACAAAAGAGTTGAATATTTTTGAAAAAATATTGCAAAAAGCAGTTGCGCTTCCTAAGAAACATAGCAGCTGCAGCAAAGCTCGACTGGCATTTGGCAGACAAGCTATTATTTTTTGCCAATACTTTTATTCAAATGATTGATCCAGCAATTGATAATTTCTAGCAACTTTACAATAATCAGATCCTCTTACCTTGTATTCAAAAGGGAGTCTAGCCAGCCACATTCCATTTTTCTTTCCCTCCAGTAACTAGAACAACAAAAAGACTTTATCATCTCTGTTCGATGGAGCTTCCAGCTGGAATCATATAAGTGGGTTATTTGTGGGTTATTTGATTCTTTAGGTTCTAGAAGGTGGCTCTATAGGGGAAGGGATTTTATTGCAAAGTTGATGGGGGCAGTGGCGGCGCCAGCTACTGCCGAGTGGGAGGGTAATGGGCGTGACCAGTGAGACCACGCCCTAATCGCCTCGTTTCAGTGCATTGTACCAGGTCAAATTTCCTTAGGAAATATGATCCACCCCTACCTAGTGCTTTTTAACCCGTTTTTAAACAAAATATGTATACCATGTTTCGAAAAAAGTAGGGGGTAATTACCCCCCCATACCACCCCCTGGCGCCGCCACTGGATGGGGGATGCCTTTGAAGTCGGCAAATCTTTGCAATCTATTTGAAAAAATCAAAACAAAGCACATTTCCAAGCAAATTGTTCAAGGGTTGCAAATTGTTCATATATATACCCATTTTCAAGTGCTGATACTGTGCACTGTATTTTCCTAAAAGCCAAAATTTTAATGCTTAAAGATAATTGATACAGTTTTGCACTGAACTGAGATTTATGTAAATTGAAAAGATCAAGTTTCAAGAAATTTCTCAAAATTATCTAGGGGCAATGGCCATCTTGCCCTCTGTTAATATGACCATTTTTTATGTACAAAACTTACATCCTTTATCTCCATTTTTAGCTGGTCTGACACACCAGATTGTGATGTGATTCCACTCTGTTTCCTTGGCACAAACTGAGAATTTTTTATGTTTTGGGGGACTATTTCTGGTTCTAAATCCATCAATGATTTCATATCTTTTGTCAAAGCATTTCCAGGTTTCTTCTGCTTGCCTTTTAAAAAACAATTCAAAATCTATTTTTGAATATTATTTAAAGAATGTATCATAGCATTTACAAACAAATTTAAAACTGAAACATTTTCACACTTTTCTTTTATGCCTATACAAGACCTCATCCCAAGATCAACATGCCAAGATACAAGACCTTATCCCAAGATTAAATGTACATTAATTTGCAACTTATTGTATTCATTAATTACTGCCCCGCCATTCAGTTTATTCTAAATAACCTCTTATTGCTGTTAATATATTCATAGCAGAATGTTTTACCCACTTCCTGCTGCCCAGATTCTTAAAACCTGTCTTTATTAAAACAAATTGACAGCTTGTTCTTTCCTCCCTCTCTTCCAATTTCTTCCTCCTTCCTCTTGTTAGGGCTTTGCTATAGGCACCTGGGACTTACCCTAATATTGCCAACAAAAAAATTAAACATATGAAGTAAAGAAACAATGAAAATTAAAACAAGCAAAGAATATTACTAAGCCAAACAATCAGATGAAACATACCACAATTTGTAGGTAGCTTAGAAATATCACTTTTGGCTGATGGCTTCTCCAAAGATTTTGATTTAGATTCCAGTGCTGATCTCTGTCTTCTTGGAGGAATATCTTTCATGTCTATTAAAGAGTTTGAGCTATCCTTTCTTTGTCCCAGAAACAAAACCTCACTATTAACTCCATTTATATTTTTCTTTACAATTCTAATACAGTCTGAGCATTCTTGAAGAAGTCGCTTCAAGGAAGGAAAACCAAGTTTTTGAAAATCAATCTCTACAGCAAATCGATTCTTGAATGCTGTGCCAAACAAACTTGCTTCTATACCTTCAGGAGATGATCTGAGAAGTTCTTTAATTTTCATTCTAACAAGTGCAGGAACAATTGGCTTTGGAGGAGGCCGTCTAACTGATTCATCAGGAGTTTTTCTAATGCTTCTAACTTTTCCAGATTTCTTTTGCTGCAAAACTAGTTTCTTTATATGTACAGTTGTGCTATCAGCAACAGCTAAAAAGGTACATAGAAAAATCTGAATTCATAAACAAGAAAATATATCAACGTCTATCATAAAATGTAGTGCATTTTGCAGGTCTTTCAACTAATACAATTAATTTCTCTCAAGACTGAAATACATGATCAGTTATTTACAGTATAAACTTCTCATGAAAATTGCAAAAAACCTTTTCAGCAATCAGTTTAGACTGGCCAGTCTTATGAAATGTTCAAGACATTAAACTTTACTCTTATCAATTATTGCATCATGTGCAAATTGCATGCCAAAATAAATATTTCATAATGACTATTTAAGCAAGCACGACACCTCATCAGCAGTGCCCCTTTACTTCAAAGTTCTTCTGCTTCCTTACAGCTGTTCATGCAGGACAGCTAGGTGTTTTTGACAAGTGATGTTTCATAAAAAACAAGGGGATCCTTGCAAAAGATATCTTAAATAGCAGCAAGAAGTAAACAATTGGTTAATTTTGCAGCAAAACAGGAGATCAGCCCCAAAAACTCTACCATCTTGTATATGACATTTAACTCAAGATGCAACTGAGTTTTGAGCCATTGCTTAAAAAAACATTGTTTCAGCTCATCAATTTTGTCTGATTGAATTAGCAGGTAGACCAGTCAGTCAAACCCGAATAAAAAAGATTGCTTGTTGAATCAGATTGCCAGTATATCCCTTTTAGCACAATTTTTCAATGATACCAAAATACAAGAATATTTGAACATTATCACATTTCAATATCCAGCAATAAGCTTCTCACTCTATTTAGTGATCTTATAACAATGGATTGTAATTTACTTGAATATAATGCCAATATATTTAGCTATGAAAATGGGCTAAAGGCAATTAGGGAATAGCAACAAACACTTTGTTGTTGTTTGAAATGCTCCTAGCTCTTTAATTTCAAAAACCTTTTTAGATTATTTCAAGGATTAGTCATGCAATATTGTATTGCATATCATATTCTTTTTCATAATTTTCCCATTCGTTATGATAATAGAGTTCACACAGATAATGTTGCCTGAAGGAAGTTATGCAGGCCTGTCAACTCTTCCAGTTTTGCTGGGCAAATCCAGTTTTTGCTAGCTTACAAATACAAAAAAAATCCTTTCTCCCAGTCTTCAATTTTTTTAAATTTTCTTCCAGTTTCTCCTTTTTCCCCTTTAGCACAGGTATTATTATTCTGATAAAAGTTTCAAAAATTACTTTCTTCATGACAAAAAGTGTTTTGCTAGTGCTTACAAACCAGGGTGCATTCCATGTACTTAGGCCCGAAGATCTTCAGCGTACACCCAGGTTTTTTGGCGTTCAGAGTGCAAACAAATAAAAAACGAGTTTGCATACTTAAAATTTTCATTAGTTGGCATGCTAAACATGAAGCCATGTACATTGTTAACATAAAATAAAGACTCATAAACCACAGTTTTCTCTAATAATCAGTTTTCTTTGTCTGGCGCAACAATGTTTATTGTTTTACTAACTGCTTTTAAATTTTTGGCATACCTAAACAAATGTCCCGGTAGACCTTCAGCGTACAGTTGACTTACAGTTGACATGGAATGCACCCTGGCTGACAAACTAACAAAAAACACTAAAAATTGCTATGGAGAAGTTTCTTGTGATAATTTTTATGCGATAATATGTTGCTTATACAATTCAACAAATTCTGGTGATCTCTCTTTTTTTAGCCAAATCTCCTCCAATGAAATTATGAGCTATAGTTTCAATAATAACAGCCAAAATTTGACCCAAAATTTTTGTCATTTTACCATAGTTTTTTACCCCAATCAACAAAACCTTGTTTTCATCAAACCTATAGTTTGTACTTAGACTTAGACTTAGTAGTTGGACTATAAATACATCAAATGCAGTTTGAAATTTACTATAAGAAAGGACCAAACTGAGCAAAAATTTTCAAGTTGGAATAAATCCAAATTTATGTATTGCAGTAAGTAATGCAGTGCAAAAAAACAAGAAAGGGACTGCTTTTTCCTTAACGAGATAGAGAAGCGAAAAATTTATATCAATGGTACCTAAAACTCATTTAACAAACAATTTTGTACGGCGATTATGCTGCAAGTAATGGTCCAGCGTAAGGCCAAGACGCCATATAATGTCTTCTCGTTTTTTTGGGCGGGATCCAATAATTCACCTTAAAGTAAAATTATAAAAATGGGAACAATTAAAAACTAACCTTCCAGGTACATGACACCTCCAGCACGAAATACAGGGTACACAACATCGGGAATGTCTTTGATAAATTCTAACGCAGAAGAATATCCCAGTTGTTGGAATGGCAAGTGGGAGCCTATCATCGATCGATAATCTGACAATAGGTCTTGTAAACTAAGTCCTACTGGCGATGATAGCAGTAAAGACCTTACTTCTTTCTTTACATCCTCTTTTTTCTTCGGGGTCTTGTCCATTTTGAAAATTTTCACGCCTATATTCCTTTTGCCGCCATATTATTTATTGCTCTCGTACTTCTTCGATCGACCACGAGGATAAGTGTTGTTGTTGCTGTTACGAAGGTGTTTTCATAACATACCGTAAATACTCGAATTGCCCCCCCCCCTCGAATAAGCCCCCACCCTAGAACTACAAATTGTCAATAGCCCCCCCCCCTTGAAAAAGCCCCCACTGCTACGGTATATTCTCGAATTGGACCCCTTCAATTGACGGTTTTTGCCATCTGAGGCTCCCTATGGCGTTTTATTGAATTACCACGACAAATTCGTACCTTTGGTAGTAATTAATTAAATGCTCATAAAGAAATTCCTACTAAAATAAACAAGGTCTTTTAATAATGTATTCCTATTGTCTACAATAATTTGATGAGCCCCCCCCCCTCCTCTCGTATAAGCCCTCCTCTCGAATAAGCCCCCGTCCAAAAATGTCAAAAATAATTAAGCCCTCAGGGGGCTAATTTGAGGATTTACGATAATGCAGTATAGGCTGTCCGCCGTATTCTGTGAATCTTGCAATTAGTTTCGTTCTAATGAAAGGCATTTGCCCCCTACCCCGATTAGACGCTTATTTTTGAATAGGCAAAAGAAGGGAAAAGACCGCTCTTACAAGAAACGTAGAAAATTAACTGTGTTTACCTACCCTTTCAAGAAGCACAATTTCTTCAACTGGTTCGATTAGGCTCGGGGATTAATGTAAAAAACATTTTTCTATATGCTAAGTGACACCAGTTCTTAGGTTTATTGCTTTGGTTATGCGCCAGAACATCAGCAGTAACCTGCCGTTTATCCTTGAATCACCCCCTCTCTCGTATAAACTCTCTTACTAGCCTCCACCATGGAGAAGTTAAATTGTTAATAAGCCCCCACACTCGAACAGATCCCCAACCCCCACCAAAACATGCCAAGTTGTGCATCTCAATAACCCTGGAGGGATTAATCGAGTTACCATACAATGAAGAAAAAACCATGGTTTTAGCTCACAATAAGTCATATATTCAGCGGAAAATGATGGAGTAAAAAGATATGAAAACACTCGGATGATGTTTGTTCTGAAAAAAACTCCTTTAAAAAACATTTTACTAAAAAAGTTTTAGGCACCAGTCTTCTAAAATTAAACCATTAAATATTAGCAATTTGCAACTATTGATGCACCATTCGAAAGGAAACGATAAATACAGAAACTCGTACCATAGTCGCTTGAAATAGCTAGAATGAAAAACAGGTCTAACATATGAAAACAAATATTGATTGTTGAATTTTCCATTCCTTACATAAACGGAGAAGTAGGCCAGAAAATATAAAATTGAACAAATGCAGTCAAGGAACCTATTTTTTTGGAATCGATACCCGCAAAAAAATGATATGTACAATATCTAAACACGATCACCAACATACCATACAAACATTAAATATTTGATATAAAAATCTTTCCTCCAGAATGACGAGCAGAAACAAGTCTTAATTTGTAACGACTTCCTCACGTTTTTTGCTCTAGATTTGTTTGGATGTATTTCTCAAGATCATCACAGTACCTAAAAACAAGTAAACAGCAGTAAGAAGGTGACTCTGGATTCTTTAAATATTCCATTCGTAATTCATCATGTTCAACTGCCAAGATATCAATTTAACCGCAAAGGTGACAAAAATCGACATACTCACATCGATAATCTGTGCTTATGTCGAACTTCGTTTAGCTTGGATCGCAGTAAACTTGGATGGATAAAACTAGCATCTTTTAAAGCGGTTAAAACGGAATCCTGCAGAGAAAACGCAAAATGAAAATTTGAAAATTAACTTTCAACAGTGTCTTATTAAAATTAACTTTCAACAGCACATCCAATATCTGACAGAAAAATCTTACATGTAAGAACAACTTTCAAACACAGCTTGCTTAAGTTTTTTTTAATGAGTTGAATCCAATACTCAAGGATCAAGCTCTTACAATAGGATCTAAATCAAGACGAGAAAATGAAAGGAAAGTAAACTATTGAAACATGAAGGCAATCAATTCAGTAAAACAAGACTTTGTTCTAAAAATCAAAATTCAACTTTTGCGTCTCCTAACAGTCATTAGCAATACGTTTTTCAAAAAATATGATAAAGAATATATTTTCTTGCTCAAACGACATCACATCCCACACCCTCTTTACCTTACTAGTTGATTTCATTATCAATTTAACTTATCATAGCTCTGTTTACAACAACTTCAGATTACATGAAAAACGTTTATTGGCACACTGATTTATTTTACTTCTCAGTGACTAAATCAATGAAAGAATTTATGAATGGATGATTGGATGAAACCCTTTGTAAGGGACATACTTAGGATATCATGCTAAAATGGTGGTAATAAAGCCGAACAAGATTAAGATTCTGATTTTTGATGGGTACGAAAAATATAATTTTAGGTCGTAAGTTCTAAGCAATCAAAGTTAATTTATCCAGTGTTTTATAGTAATAGCGAGGAAGGAACAAAAAATTACAAATGTTGAACATTAGCAAGAAAATACTACTTGAAATTATACATGTAGCAAACAGCTTTTAATTGAAATCAAAAGGCTTATATATGCTTGAAATAACAGCGCATGACAAACTGACCTGTATTGCTTTATCTGGGTCATCAAGGTGGATTAAAAGTCCTTTGAACATTGCTTCTAAGTGTGGCCTATAGAAATCTGCATCGTAGTTACTAAAACACCTGAATGGATAAAAAGGCGAGGCATAGTCATAATGTTGATTTATTAAAATATGAAATACATTTTCAATGATATAAGATCTTCAATTTACTCTATATATATAATTAATAATATTTAGGAATAAAACTGCCCTTGAAACTAGCTAAGACTTTTAAATACGATTATCTTTGGAGTACACTCTATTGAAATTTTTCCAGGTTTTAGTCATCAAGAAGTGTAATTTTTTTAGAGACTTGTGTTTTCCAATGATTCTAAAAATTGAAATTTTGCCAGGTTTTCGTCATCAAGAAGTGTAATTTTTTAGAGACCTGAACTTTCAATGGTTCTAAAAATAATTCTTTAAATAAGACCTCAAATAAGAACAAAAATTTCATACTTGAAGTAAGATGAAAAAGCTCTTGTGGTTAGCATCCTTATTTCTTCGTTGCTGTCATCCATTCTTTTCAGAAGCTCTGGATATATCTTGTTCAGCCGTTCAGCTAAAGGAAAAAGACAGATAGCCATAGCTGCATAAAAACTAACCCACTTTCCCTCTAGTTCAATACACATTTCGACATTATGCACACTTATGTTAAGTTGATGATAAGATAATTGCTGGGATAAAAATCTGTCTATTTAAAGGGCAAACAAAGATTGATATGTGAAAAACTGATTCCATGCTGGAGGGGCCACTAGGACATTTGAATTGGAATGACAAAGCACTATGAAAATAAATCTGATTTTTAATGAGTCCAAGATTTAGCAACTTCATACAAGCTAGATGCTTAATTTTCACTATCAAGGTGAAAAAGAAGGTGCTTTCCCTTCAATGAATAATGTTAAAGTCACCATATGAATACGAAACAATCAACAAAGAAGTCGCTTGCTAGTGAAAAGACGCAGGGTTTTGATTAAAATCACGTGGTAGCATCTAGAAAAAGGAAATTGTAAACATACCATCAAATGAATCCCTGCATTCGCAAAGCAGCTTGAGGAGAGTCTTGCAAGTTACCATTCGAGTTGTTTGGTTGTCGTCATCAAGGCAAGATATAATCTGCAATGAGAAATATCAAATCGCCATAATTTATATAGCGATTAAGAGTAATTCATGAAGTCAACTATTTTTTCTCCCAAGCTAAATTCATTCATATTTTTGCACATGTTAATCACAGATGTGCAAACAAGCAGATACTTACGAGGAGTTGTTATATTTTCGAAAATTGCTCTATAGATTGAAAATATTTGAACACCAAAGCACAAGACAAAGATGTCAAGCAAAAAACTGCCAAAAGCTCTTTCAAAACGGGCACACGAAGCCTATTTTTGGTTCGCCATTATTCATTGTTGCTATACCTGAATAAGCATGTCCGAAAACACTTCGTTGATGTGTTCCGTCCTGATCACATGACCCTGCAGAAGGGACCAAAAGCAAGACATCGCAGCAGCCCGCACTGCAGCAGCAACTCTGTAAGCAAAAATAGAGTGCCCTTATATTCTTTCATTGGTCATTGTTTATAAAATGCAAGAGATGCTTTGTGTCAGCATACACGTAAATTTGCTGAGATACCGCAATTATTTGCAGTAAATGATTAATAACTGATAAAAGAATGATGCAGCCATGTGATTACTTCTGTACTACTGTCTAGCTCTCTGTAAAATATCGATGAAACAAAGAGTTTCATAGAAGTTTAAAGAAAAACTTTAAAGATTTAACTATGTCCTGATGAAGGTAAACTTTATCTAATCTAAACCGAAAACAAACTGAACTGATGTAACAAAAACACGTGTTGTTCACTGTAGATGTTTTTCGTACAAAAAGGCATGCAAACATTAAATTCACTTTCAGTTTCAGAAATCCCCTTCGAATTATCGTTACTAATAATGGTACATGAAAAAAGGTCCTCTGTAAGTTTCCTTTTCGTAATTCATCCATATATATTGCTACGATATGCATATTCCAAATAAAACGAATATCAATAGCAAGTATATGTTTATGTGTAGGCTAAATGCTTATTGTGTAATATACAAACACAAACTGCTTACCTCCCAGCGTGCCAAATACAGTTAGGCAGAACAGCTTCCTTCAGCAGCGTAACGCAGAAAGGCTGGAGCGACTCGATGACGTCATTATCATCTCTGACACCAGTAACAATTCTTGATAGCAATGAAAACATTCTAGAATAAAACAGAACGTGAGACTTACAAAAGGCTAGTAAGAAGCCTTTCAACAAAAAAGTGATATAGGCTGAAAATTGCTATCTGCAGGATGCTTATTTCATTTAAATGCAGATCTAATATCACAAAGCAAAACCACCAGTAATGGGGATCTGCCAACAAGGAGCAGCTCCAAATTATTCTGGATAAAACAACGAATATTTTTCCAAAAATTCATTTTCTATGGCGGTTTTTCCTTGTTGACGTAGCCTGCGACTAAAGGAAACCTCCCTTCAACAGAGTCCTACATGTCAATCCGGTCCTACATGTGTGGAGGTTTTACATAATTCAACGCATCAAACGAGGCTTAAGACAAGACCAAATTAGAATATCGACACCAACCAGGAAATTTACCATATAAGTACGAGCAGTCGAGTTTCTAGTATTTTAAAATTAACTTGGGTTTAAATGATTATTCATGTCACTTAGTAGGCGATGTTATTGGTTAATTTGGCTTAGCGATTTGTTTCAATCTAATCAGCCTGCAATACTATTTTGGAAAATGAAGCTGAAATTATTGGCTGTCATTTTTTATGCCTATCACCAGAACTCAATCAAATTGAATACATCTTTTTCAAATTTTACATTTTTGCCTGGAAAAACCAGAAAAAGGCTTAAATAGCAAAAACAATATTTACTTTAGTTTTAGTTCTGGGTCATTGGTCGGTCGAAGATTCGTTAGAAAAATTTCCATCGACTGGTTGAGCATGGAAGGGAAAGCTTTGTGAGACAATGTCAGCAGCATGTCGAATTTAAGCCGTTCTGGAGAGCTGCCAGTCCACAATTCCGCATTTTCCTGGATGAAAAGTCGCATTGTGTTTGAAAACTTACAATAAGCCTAGCATAAAAATGACCATAATTTTCTACAGTCGGTAGGAAACATGAAATAACATTGTAGAATACAAAATTTATTGAAAATATTAACTGAAGGAATCTTCCTATAAAAATTATTGCTCAAAATCATCACAGATAATATTGCATAGATGACTATAAAATAAATCTATTGGTCCATTCGATACTTATAAAGTGAAATGAAAAAAGAAGTTAATGGTAAGAAATAAAAAACATCATTGCTACCTGTAAACTCGTTAAAATTCCATAGCCATGTTCTTCCACAATACGATCAACAGTTCCCAAACCCCTGAGTTGGGAGAGTTTTTCGAGATTTGCCCTGGCCTAAAAACAGTGGCAGAAATTCATGTTAATTCTAGAGTCTGTTTCATTCTGTTAAGCAAAACAAACAACCATGAATGAAAAATGACATTATCAACAAACTTCCCTCTTCAATGCAGTAAAAAAAGCTTATGGCCTTTAATTGATTAAAATATTTAACCAATAACAAACTCAGAACATAAAAACACAGGAAAATGAGACATTAGATATTTTGATCGTAAAATAAAACTGACGAGTATCGTTTACCTCTTTCATGATATTTGGATCAGATGCCATTGACATGATGTTAAGTAAAATATCGAACAGCATAAAGCTAAGGCTTAAGAAATCCAGCCCAGGTTTTGACAAAACTGCAGCAACAAGTGCATTTAATTCCTGGTGCAGCTCTCTTGTCACCGTTATGCTGACGTCAGGTGATGAGATAACTGCGCAAATTTCCTAGGTAAAACAGAACGCAAAATATGAATCATGTCATAATACACGCGCCTTTGCTTTTCAAGCTGATTTTGTGGTGGAAATCTTTTACAAGAAATGAAAGTCTTGTTCAGTATCATTCATGCATACTTTTGACCTATTCTTGCCCTTATTTGAATGTAATTTGAGCCATCACACAGCAAACACGAGTTTAAGAATGGATGACGAAGAATGCTGCAGGGTAAAATCTGAAAACCAAAACTCAAGTTGGATGCATAAATAATAGAAAGAGAGTCATAGATTTTTATTTGAGGACAGCAAAAGAAAAGAAATAGTAAAAAAAACAAGAAATTTTTATTTTATTATATAACTTAAGTATTTTTATATAGGATGATTCTGAATGACAAAAAAACGATAGACTAATTGATTATTAATGAAGGATTAATCGATGGAAACAACACGGGAAAAGATGATAAATGATAAATGAGTGGGCTGCCTGGCGCGTGAAATGTTCAAAATATCTTAAATTGATCCAAAAGGGTAGCAAAAGAAGAAGGAATCCAGCTAATGGCCTTGTAGCCGTTTTGGCTCAGTAGAGAATGTAGTAGTTATAATTATTATTATTACCATTAATGTATGACGTCATATGCCTGCGCATATGATCTTATTGTATTCTTATATATGAAGCGATCTCCCGAACCGACGTGTTTTATCTCTTGCTTACGAAGTCTACAGTGAATAATCAAATTGCAGTGAATCATCTCACAAAGAAGCTTATATAATATCGAATATACCTTGAGCTCTTTGTTCAAAAGCTCTGATACAGCACCACGAATGAGAGATGCCAAGACGGCAACGGCATTAGAGCACGATACTGCATTTGCAGTTGATACTGACTGCAAATGTGTGAGGACTAGTTTGAAGTAAATGCCTGGTTCGACGTACAGCCCAACCAACTCCGCACTGCATCTGGCCTAAAATCAAAAATGTTCTCAGATATCCATAAATCGGATTATGAATTCTAATAACATATTCCATATGTAGAGTTAGAATGAAACTTAGATGTGAACACACGGTTTAAGAGTAAATGTTCAGAAAATTTCGAAGTAAACATTTAAGAAGCAAAATATAAAATAACTTTCAGGGGCTTTGAATTAATGAATAGCAGATTCATTAACAAAAACAGGATTGGAGGAAAATAATCTGTAAAAACAGGATAGTTGTTAATACCTAGGCAAAATTCATATTTGTTGAATACTCAGCTTAGCAAAATGCTATCAAATTTGCAAAATTTTGTGTATCGAAAGATTGCATGCTAAAGCGTTTGTTAGTTAGAATATAAACTTTTTTCAGCTGCCAAAAGCTATCTTATTCAAACTCTGATTTCATTAAGAGACAAACAATTCTCCTTTACTACTAATTACTACTAATTACTACTAATACTACAAATAATTGATTGGCTATTCGCAGTGGTTGATGGAGTGATTTAATTGAAAAGGGAATTAGGAAACCTCTCTTCCAACAGCCTCTTCTTCATCGCGGATGCATTTATAAAGACCTTGAAGTAGAGGCTCCAGATGCATGGTAATGTGGTCTTCTGCGTAGAAAATTAAATGATACAGTAACTGCGAAGCCTAAAAGATGAAAAAAGCCCTTAGATAATCAGAAATAAAGAAAGATTGCAAAAATTGCGCAATGGGCAAAAGCTGTCAGTCATTTGATTACCAGACACAACTACGTAAGGAGCAAGGAAGAAAGGGAAAATGCTTTTAAATTTTAAGAAAGGGCTTTTAAATTTTTGAATACATTCGTGTTAAGAAATGTTTATTGGCTCTCTCCTCTTTCATGAAAGACTTTTGCTCCTTTTTTTAATTGTAGTTAACTAAGTTTATATATGGATTATAAATTGCTACATGGTTTCTAAGCATTCAAATGTTTTCTGTGGTATCGTCTTGTGAACTGGTCTCTTGAGAATTAATAAAAACAATTGAGGAATGCCTAAATTAGGATTGCAAGTGCTGAAAAATACCTACTTTAATTCGAGTTTCAACAACCCAATCGGTAAGGTCTCCGAGAACGGCTGGAAGAATTTTTGAGAAGTTTCGCTGCACGAGCTCTCTACAACCGAGAGAGGGTCTTTCCCCAGCTGAAAAATAGAAAATGACAATTTTGCCAAGAAGAAACAATTGATGGATTCAAACTTTGTGTAGATGATTGTCAATATAGCACGGGGAATATTGAGTAAATAAAGGGGAAAGGGTGACAGAAATGAAGGATTAATAGGTGTTGCATCACAAAAGGCTGAATATGGTCATACGTAGCGACGCAGTATGAATAATATCTAAATCCAGACATCAATCAGTATTGGAAAACATCAAGCCGCCCTACTTACGATGAACATTTTCAAAATGCTTTACAACGTGGAAATCGAGCTTCTCTTTTAAGTCATTTTCGTTTTCGGCCTCGTATTGCTGGCCTGCCTGTAATTAAATAAAGAGTGTTTACACGGCGAAAAGTACGAAGAACCTAAAAAACAAAATATGATTGAGAAACACATTATTGATTAAAACCATTTTAATATCTATTATCTAGCCATCTTCATATTTCTGGAGCCTCCAAGTTGAAAATTTAAGCAAAACTTGCAGCGTATACAAAGAGGGTTAAAATATCGAATAAAACGAGTGGTTTTACTTTGCAAATTAAGGTCAAATTCAGCTAAATGGTAAGATGAAAATCAAGAAATTAAAATAGATTAAATGGCTGAAAAACCTTGTTGCTATTAATGTTTCAAACAATCATTTTGTGGCAATTTAAAAATGGCTATGAAAAAAAACAAATATTTTGAATCAAACTTCAGAACATAGACCGAAAACCCTACGCTAGGAAATATATATACCCAGTTGTGGATCGAAATAGGTCAATCAGCAACGCGAGCACATGACTGCTGGCTGCCCAATGAGGTTGCCCAATCAGTGCAGTCTTGCCCATTAATGTTTCCGAGCACGACAGACTTGATTGGAGGCGAGCACGACAAGTATGAGTCAACAGCCATATGTGCACTGTGCTTCTCTAGAGTGAGAAATATCATACCTGGTCGAAGAGATCTTTACTTTTTGCTTTGATGTCGGTCATCTCATCAGACAATCCAGTTAACAAGAGAGGTAGAAGCTTGTGAAAAAACGAGTATCTAAAGAAAATAACCATAATACTAGCAACAGTTCCGAGTGAAATTGAGCAAATAAACACACTTAAAAATTGAGCAAATAAAACGAAACAATTCATTTTCTGACTTTTTTATCTATTAAAAAACAAAAATGTCCTCGCATGTATCCAATGTAAAACCAATACTTCAGATCTTCAGTCACTTAAAAAATAAGCAGACTTCTTGAAAAAATTACCAGGCAGCTTAAAGACCTCGAGAGCTTGTCAATGTCATACCTGTCACGTAGATTTAAAAGCCAATCACCGATTATATTTGTGACCATCATACGAACAGGAGGTGAATGATCGAATGTTCTTTGTGCGATGTGTGATATGACATTGTCTACTTCTTTGCCACTGGTCCCTTTTATGACAACGCCAATGGTCTGTGAAAAGAAAACAATAGCTGAACTAAGATCCTGCTAATATCACCCCTTCATCGGTAACACAATCAAGGTTCATCAATTAATGCTCTGTGATTAGCATCCTTTAAAACTTGATAAAAAAGTTCTTGAAAATAAATTTTTCAGACATTGACCTGTAGCTTTTCAATTTTTATTCTTCATTCAACGGTACTTTATACTAAAGCATCGATACATTTAAAATTTAGGTAAAATTTCAGTTATTCGTCACCGTTCATTTCAATTCGCATGATTTTGTGGCTTACCTGCAGGCAAACAGATCTCACTTTGTGATGCTGATGGCTGACTGAAACAACCAACGGTCGAACGAGAACCTCGCCATGAAAATAAAACTTTTCCGGAACAACAGAAGACAATTTATTGACACAGCTACAACTTTCCTGGAAAAATTAACAAAATATCAATACCTACAGAGAGCATTCAATAGTAGCAATCAATAAATAAGTAACAATTAAGATGTAGCTGTCTCATAAATAACATTAGATTTAAATTTTGACTGGCAGCTTACGACTTTTGCACATGTTCTTTGCAGTCAAAACGTTTTGCTAGATCATATAGGTTTCAGTTCCAGTTCTTGCTGACAAAATATCTAAGTACAACTAATAATACATAAAAAATCACCTAAATATGCATTAAACAATTCATATACATAGACAGTAAAAACTACAATGTACACTGAATAATCTAAAAAGGGATATAGAACAATAAAAATGATGTACTTAGCAATGAAAACAAAGTATTATTGATATAAAAGAGCGAAAAGATCCCTCTTGGACTAACCTTTTTGACTTCGGGAAATGGATCCAATATTGTAGCTGTTAAAATTTGAATGATATCTTTTACATATGGATCTAAATGATCTTTGCAGGCAGTGATAATACAGTTAAGTGACTGCATTTGTAGCAGTCTTATCTCTTCAGTAGTTTCAATTATCTCTTGTCCCCCAAGTCGATCGGTCAACACTGCAATTATATAAGGTAAATGGCTCCAAGGCTCAGGAATAGTCTTGATAAACCTTGAAGAAAGAAAATAAGCAGCTTAGATAAAGTCAAAAAATCATTAAGAAAAAAAATTTGTATTGATTCAGATTTCTAATAACCCTTGCTTTGAGACAGGAAAATGATAAATAGTCTATCAAAAAAAGTCTATCTTTAATATATGTAAGAAAACATTTGCCTGTTCTTCAATTGAATTACCTTAAAATCATAATAAACAGCTAATCCAAACTTAATCAAAATAAAACAACACTTTGGCAGTGCAGAATTTAAAAAAAAAGATCAATATTCTAATGTTCTATACATCAAAGCAACAGCTTTAGTTTATTTCAAAATGCTCGCCACATGATAAGCTATTTTTATTTTACATTTTTTCAAGTACTTTTCATTGTTGTTTCATTACACCACATCAAAAAATATGTAACAATAACATATGAAAAACTACAAAAAGAATAACAAACTTAAAACTCACTCTGTAATCATGTTTATGGAAAGTTCTCTACATCTATCAACTGGAAATGAATAGAGACTTAGCAAGGGCTTGCAGACCTCAGCGAACACTTTATCTAATTCAACAGCTGAAAAGGCATTAATCTGGAAAATCTCTTTCTGCAGTTTCTCTAATGCCCTTCTTCTTGTCATTTTGTTTCCATCAGACAAACAATTTATGTCCCTCTGGATACTCTTAAAAATAGGATATGTAATATGATGGACAAAAATACAAACTTCTTTTTATCTTCAAAAACTGTCAAATAACAACTGCCTTGAAATGAATATTCATTATAAACTTTAAATTAATATGAATATTTTCAATTCTTGAAAATAATTATTGTTTACCAGTTTTTCATAAAGTGCTTGAGCCAGTATATGTAAAACCATATGAAAGCATGAAACTTGAAGTAGTAACTAAGAGCCATCCTGTTCTATATATTAAATAGGGTATTTTCATGACTTGACATTTAGTTTACAAGGTACTCCAATACTTCAACTTCAGTTTTACTAAACTTGAAAAAACATGTGAACAGCCAAGTTCAAACAAATCTTTCATATTATTTAGCTAAAACAGAAAAAAGTTACCTAACAACCAGTTTTTCTTTGGGATGAATGTGGAAACAATTATTCCTTACATATGATTAATAAACACACACTCAAAATTAAATAATGTTTAAAAAAGGAAAAGAAACTGATTTGAAATATAACTTAAACCAAAACTAAATGTCCTTTTCACAACACAAATGCATGAATCTTGGTAATGCATATAGGAGTTCAAGATTTTCAAAACTCTCATAAAAAAATGTCTCTCTTTTCCACTCACTATTCATCCTTAGAAAACCTAAAACTTCCCTTCCATGTCTATATAAAGTTAAGATATTTTTGTTCACATTATACATAGAGATTATATAAAATCTGAGAAATATATGGAGTTCAGAAAAGTCCATGGATCACCAAAGACATACAGGATTCAATGAAAACTAATGATAGGCTGAGAAAGGCAGAAAACAAGCAAGTCTCAAGTCCTTTTGGAAATAACAAATAAAGGGACATGACAAGATATAATCTCAGCATATAAGGGTCACAGAAAGTATTATCGGGATGCAATCATTTGATTGCTAACTACAAGGTCAAAATATACAATGACGGACTGTTTTATGGACAATTATTGGTTGTTTTTGTGATTCAAGGTGACTAGCAAGGAGATGGGGAAATTAATGGCCACATACCATTCAGCACCAGACTCAACCCCTGATTTGTCCCCAGATTAAAAATTTGCTTGTGCAGCTTATGGATGCCCCTTATGGACGAATCAGGGGATAAATCTGGTGCTGAATGGTACACGGTAAATTATTAGGGAAATCAACTGTGTCTGTTGCTTAATTGGTATGACCTTGGTAGAGTAATAGTCAATGATTGTGGAAAGTGATTATGATACCAATAAAATCATACTATGTTTTACTTCAAGACTATTTCCATTCAACATCCCAGGCACGCAATAGCTAACGGCACAAATATCAAATATCACAAAATGAAAAATATCTGAACTAGGCCATTACAAGCTATTGAGAACCCTCGTGCCTTTTTATTGAAAACACCAGCAGAAATAAGCTAGTTTTTAAATTTATGGAAAGTAGCAAGAGCTACCATTACTTTCATAGAGGAACCACTATCTTTCCATTCAGTCATCTCAAACCTCTTTGATTGAGATACTATTTTAATAGCTCTTAATGTATCAATGTTTTGGAGGAAGCAGGACCCTCTTCAAAAACAGCTGATACTAAAGAGACAGCCTTATTAAACAATCCACCTTCGACGTATGGTTTACAACGAATGTACCTTGGGTGTCATAGTTTCCTGAGAGGCATACCCAAATAAAGCACTTTTTTGTATTGTTAGTTACCACTGCTAGTTTTTAAGTCCACAGATTCCAATCCATATCATACTGCGATTTAATTGAAAGCCAAATTAAATGAAAGAATATAAAATATCATCATAGTTGAAAAAGTAAAACTATTAATCGCATTTTACCTGCAGAAACGACTTAACTTTCTCGTTCTCTGTGTCACATAGGTCAGCCATTTTGATTTCTCTTCGAGCATCAAGCCTCCCATCGGTGTTTCAGTCTCTTTTGGGGAAATTCCATGGTCACCATAGAGACAGAAATATTCCTAGCAACCAAGGAACACTATCCCTCAGAAGGAGGGTGGCGCTTAGAGCTGTGCATTAAATAAGTTATTTTCGTCAAAAATGAGCAAGGACACAAAACGTAAGGTGATAAACAGAGTTTTGAAAGCTAGATCAGATCAAAACCTGGCTTTAGATAAAGTTTCGGTATGTTCCAAATTTTGTTCTGCTAAACTAATTTCTGTCTTTCTTCGACTTTTTGGCAAACCAATTAGGCTTCGAAAAATAAACAATACATTATAAACGTCACTTAAGTATCTGTCATTCCTACTTATGTGACAGATTCTAAAGTTTGAATCGGGATATCTGCCTGCATTTAAACTACCAAGCCTGCTTAGCATTTCATCTCGCTTTTCTGGCTGTCTTAGATAAGCAGATATTTTAGATTAAAAAAACTGGCACAGTCAAAGCAAGCTTTTAATTATTAGAAATCAGGACATATTTTCCAGGAACTGCTAAGATAGCACCTGCATAACAATAATCACCTCTCACCACACTCACAAGGAAAGTCTATCTGCTTCAGCAAAGCAAACTTGTGTTTTTTCCGCGAAAGCAAGATAACATCATGAACCCGTTTTGGTAACAGATTTTAACAAGTTGTGATTAGGGCAAGTTACCCAACACCAATTTATAACGACAAATAACTACTGTTAAAATCTGTAAATATTAAAGGTGTAGACTTCTAATACAGTTTAAACTCTATACTTTTAAATCTAAATTTGTCTGATAATAATACTTTACTATGAGACAGGGCTGCAAAAACAAAGATTAGAGGTAAAGAACTTTTGGAATGTTCATGTGTGTACAACTGGGAAGGACCTCCTTTACAATCAGGTTAAAAAGAGATCAAGTGTAACAAATTATCAGTGATGTGTAAATCAACAAGAACAAGACAGATAGTAAAGTATAAACTACAATACTTTCTATGTTTCTTTATCTATGGGAAAATTTGCTTTTTAAAATTAAACGAATCGATAACTAAAATGACTTAGGTCACGATATTGAGTTGAGAAGTGTTCTGGAGAAAAACTGGTTGTGAAAATTCCCAAATTCAAACACTCTGTTTCTATTGTTTCGATTGATACAATTATGATGCTGTTTATCTGTGAGATTTCGCAACAACCTAACATTTATGGTTTAACGAATGTTTAACAAAAGGGCTTGTAATTATCCAAAGGAAAAGTTCATTAAAAATCTCTCTACATTAAGAAAGATTAGGCAGTATTGGTCGAGCAAATACTGAAATCCACCACCACTTTACGATGCATGCTATATTTATGTTAAACAATCTCAAGAAAATTAGCTGTTATTTTAAATTATCAACGAACAGACGATTCAAGACGACATTTATCGACAAGAATGTAGTTCAAAACATGATATTACGCCTAGACCACCAAAGGTCCCTCCGAAGACGACAAGTTAATTCCAATAAATCTTGCTGCGACAAACAACCTATGTTGCGAAATTATCAGCATTCTTTCTGGGTTTCATGTTTACTCGTGTTATGCCATCAGCCAATCCAGATTGAATCGATCTACAACAAATTTCAGGTGTTTTCATAATGATTTTTGTGACATAGAAAAAACTTCGTGAAGTTATTTTGCCTAAGTTGGCTTCAAAAGTTTCGATGAGCTTGACCCTTAACCTTGACCTCACTTGACCTGCTGACCCTTAACTCATAAACCAAATACGCCTTAACGACTATCGTGTAAAAATGAGCAGACTATACAAGTAATAAGTGTTTAAAAACATACAAAAAAAAACTATCAACAAACAATTGAAACAAATCATGAATCAGGCAGATTCAAGAAGATTGACGTTGGTATATAGAAGCAATTTAACGCCCAAAAAAATGAGAGACCTTTGATAAATTGTTATAAACTTACATCTCATCCATCTCTACATCCTCGTCTTCTTCGGGTACGTGTAAATATGGGTTACTTGCGGCGGGTCGGAATTTGTATCTACAGAGAAAGAGAACACCGTAGGAAGATGAGAGAGATGTTACATATAGAGAGATGCTAATGATGTTACATATTAACTAAAGATAAGATTATCTCCTCTTCCCTAAGCTTATTAAGTGACGTATTAGCTAGAGAAGCTTCCAAGTAATGCGATGGAGGGCAGCCTGAGGACGAAACCGGGAAAACTGCACTGGTAATGAAAAAGTTGATGTAAAATGGTCCTGATGCTGAAACAAGACAACAATGAGTTATGAATACGAGTGATAGCAACATGTTAAATACAAGGAAGAAAAATGAGAATAACTTAATATAATAAACAGCTGACACACTGCTCATTATTGACCTTGACTGTCAATATAGCTCTAGAAGTAGCAGCAAACAAATGTGATCAAGTTTTTTGGAATATGATTGAAGAGTACTGATAAAAGATTCTTACGAAAGTGAAATTAGTATTAAAAAGAGAACTTACCCAGTGACAACGAAGAACAACAGTGACGCCAACTCCGTACATAACTGTGAAGAGAAAAAGAAAGCCAGTCCTTTAATATGTTGATGATTTCATTAGTCTTTCATGGAACAGACATGAAAATGAGCTTTAACCTAGTAAATTGTCTGATGACTATCTTCTTTAGTGAAAATGTAACTGATAAGATCTAATATAAGATAAAAACTAAGATATGAAAATACTTGAAGTTGTGACCTTTTTCAGTTCTCACTTAAAAGCTACAGATTAGAGCATTGTGTAAAACAAAACTCCTTTTTGGTCGGATCTGTTAAAAGGACACGCTATTAAAATAACGTAATATCAAGCTAGTATGCCCAGCGCATGTTACCTTAGTCCACCAGAAACTTTCCTACACTACAAAGAAATAACTGCTCTGCTAAACAACAGAGCCGGGCAGTAAACACACTGTCCAGAATCAGGTTTATTATGCTTTAAAATAAAAGAAATCTTAAAAATGTTTCTTTAATCTGTCAATTAACATAAAATGCTGGACAGACTAGCGTCCCATTAAGTTATTGGCTAAATAAAAAATTGGCAAGCAAGACTGGACAGAATTGTACCTCCAGAAAGAAATGCACTAGAAATGCACTAGAATCACACTTTCAACTCTTGGAAGATCAAATAAAAATAAATAACTAGAAAGAGCAAGAATACTTACAGGATCCAGCCATATATAGTTAAATGGAACAGTTATCTGTGAAAATAAAAACATCAAGCATATATATATTTATACAGAGATAGAGAGTGTAATTGATAACTACTATGAAGAAATAATTATCAAGTTTAAATATTTCAGAGCCAAATGGCATTATTCACAGGTACGAAACATGTTCGGTGGGTTTTAGTATAAAGGGCAACATAAATTCGAAGGGCTAGGTTAAATATAATTTTAAAATTTCACCATGGTTGTGAAATTTATTACTCTTTCTTGAAAACTCCTGAAAAATATCATTTCTATAACTTTTTCTAACAAATATATAGCAACATATAAAAATAGCTTTTACTAAAGGTTTAGGAAATTTTTCTAGGACAACCGTCGCCTAAATTTAAAAGTTGATTTAAGAAAAGAAATGAATGATAAAAGCGAAATTAAAACTGAAACAATATATAAGTAAAACAAGTATCAAGGAATGAAATTCAAGTCTCTGATTATATGAGTTAGAGCTTTTCAAAAACAATGCAGTGTTGAAAATTTTGCTCACTTTCCAAGCCAGTTCTAAATCAGTTGTACTTAAAAGTTGATAATACACACCTTTATCAAGTAAACAATAATTCTGGTGAAGTATATGTAGCAAACGATCTGTAATTACAAAATTTCAGAATTAAACTAAATCTCTGTTGATGATGAGACCAGATTGGACAAGCAAGAGACCATAGCTAGACAATGAAACCAAAACTAGGCTTGAGAAATACTGAAAAAGTCGGGACAACTGGAATGTCGGGTAAAGACACCAGACTGCAGGTTCATAACGACGATAGACATCTGTGAAATACATCTTTTTCTATTCAAAGCAAATTTCCTCTTAATCAAAGTAGAGCAAAAAAATTTCAAACTAAAAAAATGCACTTCTTTTACTAGTAAAGATTTTTAATTTATTCTATTTAACAATGAAAATATAGCTATTATAATTAGAGAAACTGCACAATAAAGGTACTACAAGCTTTAAGAAATAAGTTTTTGGTACTGCAACATATGTTTCCGCAATTTCGTGCTACGTTCAAAGCTTTAAGAATGTAGGCACAAAGAGACCATAGCTAGACTTGAGGAACATTAAAAAGTCGGGACAACTGTAATGTTAGGTAAGGGCACCAGACTGCATATTCATAACGATGGTAGACATCACATCACATCTGTGTAAGTCTTATTTCATTCAACGCAAATTTCCGCTCAATCAAAGTAGAGCAAACAATAAACATATGAGCTGAAAAATGTACTTCTTTTCCTGATTTCTAATTTATTCTATCTAACAATTAAAATATATCATATTGATATCTTTCATCTTCTGTCGTGGTGTATGATACATGCATGACTGCAAAATACAAAATTTTCTCGGTTTATCATTATAAAAAACGTGGACTCATAACTGAAGAGATACAAATATTCGTCCCGAGAAATTTCTGCAAATGTCACCGGACTTACCAAAACGTAGAAATGTCGAAACAGCTTTAGCTTAGCCAAACTTATCGCAGCTGCAAAAATAATTTCATCATTTATATATGGGCAAAGAATATAATAGATTTAACATGACAACATGCACATGCATAATAGAAACAAAAAAGATTCTATGATAAAAAATTCAACAGACTATTCATGTGGTGTGATGGCAGTATCAGATTCAAATGTTTCCATGACTCTTCTGGTAAATCTCCAGTCCTTACGAAACTGCAAATTACTGTGTTTGAAATGTACATAATTATTTTTATTACAGCAGTATTTCTTTCTGAAATAAAAATAGCAATTTAAAGGATCAAATCACTTTAAACTAACCTTTTCCGTCAGTTTTTGAAGCTTCTTGAAGGTGTCTTATTGACCTGTGGAAACAATTAATAGTTTTGCGAAATATTTTTTCAAATTGTCTGATTGATTCGATTATCAACTTAGTGTTGTTAGATGAGCTCATATTGCAGAAACATTTATCTGAATCTGAAATGTAGATAATATGGGAAGTTTGTTGTCAAAATATGGAAACATGTAATCTGTTGTCTAAAACCAAGTTTCGTAATCACAAAGCCTTGCAAAATGTCCAGTCATGCAAACTGAATAAGAAGCAGCGAAATATTTCTAAATAATATTACAAATCAATAGACCATATTTCAATCGATTTGGTTTCAACTTTTGCTCTGATGGGCCCCGTATGCCGGGGCGAAATATTAGCTTTCACTGATTTACGGGTTTTTATTGTTGTTTATTCTCGGCGTATTGTGGTGTTTAATATTTGCTACATTTTCAATGAAATACTGATCGTAAAAAAAATACATAATGTAATTGCTGAAAAGGGTACTCACCATACAACAGGGAATAAAACTGTACCACAGCAGATCAAATCAACAAGAATGAATATTTGGTTGTAAGAACAGTCAAGGGAAGTACTAAAGATTTTTTATATCAAAATCAAATGAATACTAAAGATAGAAGTTTGAGGTTTGAACTTAAACAAATATGTAAACCAAGCCTTCTTGTAGTGTGCTGCACAATCATACCAATGAAATTAAATGTTATTAAAAGTTAGAACTAAGATCTTAGTGGAACAGTTACATGTTTTAGCAATTCCTCAATTTCTTCAAAGTAATTACGCATGATTGCAAAGATACCATTCTAGAAAGTAGTTCACGTAGACTGCTGCTTGAATAGGTGTTTTTCTACTTGTAATACAACTTTGTAGTGCGTTACAATTCTTCGCAAAACATCTCACTAATAGCTTTAACTCTAATTTTACGAAAAAGGTTTGCAATCTGCAATATTGTTTTGTAATATTCACTGATAGACGATTATTCCCTGTATAAAAATATCAAAGAAACTCTTTGATTGTTTACAAATAGCAGAGTATTGTTTCTACCACAAGCGTGCGCGAGGGTGCTCTTGAAGGATGTTAATGTTGTTTGAGTTTTGAAGCTTAGTTTGTGAAAGCTTAGTGTCAAAGCTCATAGTATAAAAGCTCATAGTATAAAAGTTAGACAATGCTCCAAAGAAACTTCTATTAAATCATTTTGAAACGAAGAGGATATCCATGTCTTATATTGTGCCTTTCCTTCTTCTGTTGAATCAATCATGATGGAAGCCACGTTTGCAAGAATCTGAAAATAAATGCAAAATATTGAGCAATTGACGCATTTCAGAATAAAGCTGTTCCTTAACAAAGAGTAAACATTTCGCAATGATCACAATCAATAAAAGATGCTACAAATACTCCCCTGAAACTGTCATCAAACATGCCTCTGGGAGGCATTAAAAACGATATTCTTCATAAGCAAACCATTTATTTGACAGATAAAATGACACAAGTTACAAACAAGTTACAAATATGAATCAAGAACGATAGATCAAATATTGAACATCCCAAAATGATATAAATGTAATCACACAAAGCTTAGCTTAGATTTAACCCGCTATTATCGGGTTTTTATTCCAGATTACAGTGTACTGAATAAAATTCAAACTATTCAGAGTATAGTATTCAAAAACGACTACAGGTTTTTATCACTTCGACTTATATTTTCTCTCTCTTTAACGAAGATGGTGGTTTATATACAGTAAGAGAACGGGCCTTACCTGGAGAGGTATGACAATCATGAATATGCGTTTTTCTTTCGTGGAAAGCACTTGTTTGACGAAGAAGAAGCCAGTGCCGATGAGCACAATACAGGTGAACATGAGCGCACCCTTCAGCCTATAACGCACAATTAGCTTCATATAAAACACTAAAACGATTCTTGAACTGATATATTGCCTTAACATTCAACCAAAATAAGGCATCTAGCTAAACTCCTTGTCGTTCAGGTTAATGCATTACTTTTTGGTAATCATCAAAAATCAATAATACTTTAGCTACATCAGTTATTCTACGATATGTGTTGCCAATTCAAAGCCTAGTCCAGATTATTGTCTAGTCCAGATATTAGAATGTCGGCTTATTCCACTATTACAAGACCAGAGATAACGTAAATATTATTATAATACCATTACATAGCTCCAGGTACCTTAGAGCAAACGCTAAAAGTGACAATTTTAACGGATATTGAGTCATTTGCATTGAGAAGACACGTCGTGTATTCTGACGATAGTAGCATTAAATAATTATGTGTAAAAATCTTGATAAGTCGAGAATATATACCATGATAAATACGTTAAACATGGGAATGTTGTAGTTTCTTTCAGGCCATAGCTGATATTTACTTACAAATGTGTTATATAAAACAGCACAGCCCATGATTCCATTCGCCTGCCATCTTTTCCAATATAGTAGTAATTTATCTAAAAAGAAGACATGAAAATAGGCACATTGCTTAGTGCTATTGATAAACTATTTTCACGAAATCGCTCTTCGTCCACAGTCAAGGAGTCAAGCATAACCTAGCCACATGTTGAGGGGGGGATATTTCACGAATGCTGTGCTATTCGCATACCAAAAATACGTCACTTCCTATCCAAAAATACGTCACTTCCGATCCGATAATTCCTCACTTCCTATCCAATAATACGCCACTTCTTATCCAATGATACATCACGTACTGTCACATCTTTAATTTACTCAAAAGATATAATCTGTTTTCTATATATTTATGACAAGAACACCAACGAAGCTGTCATCACAATAATTGAACGATATGGCCTACACTGATTACCTCTCGTCACTCTTCCTTAATGATCACCCTTCCTGATCAAAGATAAAGATACTTACTGCATGAAATATCAGGGAGAACGACTTCAGGAAAACAACAACGGCCATCAAATAGTGAATTTTAAAAGTCCATTCTCTAAAATTAGGAAAAAGTGTCTTGAATTGAATTGAAGTGTATATTATGAGCATGAGAAAAATTAATTGATTCTGCGTGTAAAAGATGGGAAATGTTATAATTAAGTATAGCAATCTTTAAATAAAATGAAACAAAATCTCATCCGAAGATTTCTCACCTCAGTTTTCGCAGTATACTTAAATAGACGCACCCAGCAATGAAAAAAATTACCGAAATGACTCCATATATTGTTGGCAATGGAATCTGGGATAAACAGAGCATTTAAAATGAATGTTATTGCAGAAATGACAATGTGAAATAAAAACAAAGTTATTTCAGTGCAGTTTATAAAAATGTTTCTGTGCGCCATTAAAAAATAAAGACCACTAAAGTTGTGGATTAACCGCGGCTTAATTGTGGATACTGGCTTAGCAAGCTATGGATACCAACAACAAGAGCGTTAAAACATGGTAAAGAAAAGTACAATATCCAGATTAAGAGATTTCATGGAAAGCGTGATAGGAAACTTTTATATTTTATGTACAAACAGTAGCGGACACCTAGGGGGCGAGAGAGTGCGATCGCCCCCCTCCAATATTTTGGAAGACAATAGACTTTTGTTCCAAAACAATGGATCAATGTGACGTCATCTTATCAAAATAATAGGCTGGTCCCCTCCAAATATTTGGCAAGTGTCCGCCACTGTATACAAAAACAAAAAAGATTCCATCATTTCAAAATAAAAATAAAAATACGTTAAATTAAACGAAAAGTGAAAGTATTCCTCGAGAATATTTCTCGACAAATTTCTCGGTTATTCGTTACAGGATTAAAATTTTTCGGGAAAATTACAGGAAAACCATCAAGATCCTTGCTTCTCTGAATAAAAATATCTTGAAAATGCTCTGTTTTTTTCACTCTCAAAACCCTTCAACCGCATAGTATAACATTCGTACAGTGCTTGGTAAAACTGTAAATTGCGTTTAAAAAAACTGCAGTAGGGGGTGCGATAAATACATGGAACAAAAAGGCAGGAACTAAAAGATTTCAAACTTACTTCCCCAGCAGCCAGGAATGTGTCTTTGTTATGTTCTATTATTCGAAGCTAAAAGAGCAAAAATATAATGAAGATTAAGTTAGAAAATGCTGCTTGCCACTGAGCTCTTATCTGCGGATCATTCTCATTCAAACTGGCTACCCTAAAAGCCAGTAGCCTTTGTTAAGTAGGAGGTTTTTGATGAGGCTACTTTTTCGTTTAGAATCAAGAGAAGGAAAAGACGAAAACTAAAGAAATTTTTCACATATTGTAATATCTTGCTGCTAAACGTTTTCTACGAAGTTATGTATTTAGATCGATCATTTTTAGAACAAATAACACACTATTAAAAAGCTAATAACAGTTTGTTATCCTGTTATTTTCTTTGATATTGCAGGTTGCTCAAAGGACCAAACACTTCATTTGCTATATTATTTTTACGTGTTTCATTAACATTGTTTTGATCCGACAAAATCGATTTAAGGAATTCCCATTGCTACTGATGTCCAAAATCTGGAAATAACTAAACGCAAATTAACTAATTATTCCATGGCGAAAAAATATTTAGCCAAAATTCTCCTTGCGAAAAATGAGCGTTATCTAAATAAGGAAAATAATCAAAAACAAAATTTGCAGCCCACCTTCATGTCAATTTTTACAGGAGTGTCGGTGTAGCAGTTGTGGAAATAGAGGTTATAAAGACCCTCATTTCCTTCATTGATTATAATCGTTATCTGAAAAACAAATGGATTTGGTTTGGAATACAATTTGCAATACACTTGATAAACTCGATAAAACTGCTCGTTTTTTCTTATTCTGTTCATGGAAATATCAAAACAGGTAACAGAATTGAGAGAATAGTAAATTCAGGTTCAACATTAACAAAATTTGATACCATTAATACATGACAAAGCTTGATTAAATAAAATTTAATCATGTTTAATTTGTGACAGGGTACGCCTTTTAGGTGCACCTTGGGCTTTTGTTTTTTGGCACAGATTGCACGATTGTGGAGTTTGTGTTTATTGTAGCAGGGCTCGAGCAAACATTACATTGTGTCTTGTATACGGCCAAAGCAACAAGCGTGCAAGTGTACATTGGCCTTGGATATATAAACTTTCATTCTCATAATATAAGTTTCATTCTCACAAGACAGCCTAAAGTTGGACTGTGGAGGGTCTTTGCGACCCTGCCCACCCTACCCATGCCTGCATCAGTTAATGCTTGCGACTTTTTACATGAACAAGGTGTTGCTAGTTGGCGGAAGAAGGCCATTGTTTCTTCTTTTCAAACCTCTCAAAAACGGTTGGGGTTTTATTTATGGCCGTCTTTGCGTTTGGCGCAACGACAGCTCAAAAATAAATGTTCCAAATGTTGAGAGAACGCCACTTTCAGTCTTATGATTGACAATGTTAAATATTCTGAGGACCATCTTACCCATAATTGCTAAAGGTTTTTGTTTGGTAACCTGGAACAAATATTAAATGTCCATTTCTCAGGTTGAGACTAAATCTCCTGTTGCTAGTTGTTTTGCTTGAGGTAACACTTAACTTAAACTACTGTGCTTTGTTGTAACTACTGTGCTTTGAAACGTAATAGCCAACAAAATAGAAAATACACTGCTTACCGTTCCAGCAAACATATTTCCAGTCAGGTTGAGAGGCAGTTCTTGGCGATGTGATCCTTCTTTCAAGGAAACAACATCAGGTTTTTTAACATCTCTCACTTTCCGAGTCTTGTTTTTATTATCTCCCGAAGGTGTAGCATCAATCGTCTTTACAATATCAACACCAAGTTTTGGCAGCAGCTTTCTCACATAATCCAAAAGACTGCTTTCATACCATGCTTGGTCTGGCAATCGGATGTTACTCACGTTCAGCGTTTTAAACGAGGGACCAAATCGCTCAACAATGATTCTGAGCAGAGAGGACGAAATTATTTAAGACTTAGGACAACATTTTTCAAATTTTAAGTGAGAAGGTAACATTATTACAAATAGGTATGATATGTATAAAGTTTGTAAACACTTGTATAACAGAAGCACGATTTTGAATTCTTGAATTCAATAAGAGACAAAATGTATTTTCAAGGAAATAAAACGAATGAGTCTCTACAAGAAAACAAAAAAATATATAATAGCCCAGCCTAAAGAATATATCTTTGGGTAATAAATGCATTAAAGATTGTTGAGTTAAAAACGAGAAGAGAAGTGAGTTTTCAGTACTTTTTTCTTGAGAAGTCCAATGTAAAAAGCATCATTTCAACTTGCTTGGCAAGCCCATCCCTTTCTTGTAAAACACACTTATCAGTGTGCTGTTCCTGAAGATTATGAAAAAGTACAAATATATTTAGCAATTCAATAACAGAAAAACAAAACATGATTAATAAATCTTATCAAATAGTTAATTCAAATTCATTTTACACACCTCTACCTTTGTAGATAAATCTACTCTTAGATCTTATAAATCTAAGGCTGCCTTGGATTATAAATCTAAGATCTAATCTAAGATTGGATTATAAGATCTTATAAATCTAAGGTTGCCTTGGACTACTATCATTCAAAATGGTAAATCAAGAATGGTCTTAACATTATGTTAAACTCCTCATGATTATAATTAAAATGTTTAAAGCAGTGGATCTTTTTTCTTTCAAACGTGACAATTTTCAAGGAAGCAATAAATATATAAAAACAAACCATATAAGATGATACACCATCACTTCCAGTCTTTTCTAAACTAAAACCAACCTACCATCATCAAAGAAAAAATAAAAGCTAAGTTAAAGTAATATTTATCATAAGTGAAATATGCAAAAAACCAGCCTTTTCAGTTTAAATTGATGATAGACCTCACCCTATAAAGTAAATGCCCTAGCAAAGTAAATTGGATGTCTAATGGCTGCCCATTTAAAAAAGGATTTTGCCCACAGCAGACATATAAAATCAAAAGGCAGCATGAGAGCTTCTATAAAAATAAAAATTTAACCAGCTGAAGGATTTGTCCAGTTGCTAATGGAATTAATAAAAAACCAAACTGAAACAGAACAAAATAGAAGGCCAATCTCTAGTTACCACAATACAAAATCATTTTGAAAAAGACAGATTGTTGTATTGCATTGTTCTAAAATGACAATATGAACACTCATATATAACCTAACAGCATAAACTTTTTCAATAATTCTAAAGTTTCTCCTACAAAACATGCTTGATAGTGTCTAAGAAATGGAGAAGTGTTAATAACAGCAAAAATGTCTACGACAAAAAAGTCACATTTTGTTTGCAAACATGAAAATAAGTGTTTAGATATTATTAACCCTTGCTTAAAATACCCATTGAGAGGAATAGATTTAAATAGCAACGGGTAGCATTTTTAAAAAAGGACAGAGACACCTGAGTTGCAAAAGATGATGAAAACATAAATAATAATAAAAACTGATAGACTTTTTAAAATTAAACATATACTTTATAAAGTTGACTCAAGATGAGACAAGCTTGATTGAAATTAAGAAATAGCTCACCAAATTATTGAGTTTTACTTTGGGAGATGGTTTTTCAACTTTGGGTGAAACATAAATGATATCAATCATGAGGCCACCACCCTTTAGAAATCCAAAAGTGCTGACAGCAAAGTTTCTTCTAGCATCATTCTAAAAATGAACAGATATTCTGTTGGTAAAAAAACATGCAAAAACAGGAAAGAATGAGCTGTAAATAGATACAAACTTGCCATCACACAAGTCTGTCACCTTCCAGTTACATGGTAACTGCCATAATATAAACTTTGAGATGAAAAGAAGTAACCAGAATTTTTCAACCAGAATATAAATAACATTTGCAAATACATTAAATGTTTTGCTAGAAAAGTTTCCCTCTTATAATTCTGAACTATGAATTTATTACATATGTAAATGTGCTAATATTTCATCAATTTCTAATTAACCAGGTATAATGTTGATTAACACCCTTTGTTATCTAAATTGAACTCTAGAAAATTGGGTATTTTTGTCACTGTTAACAAGCAAATCAAAGCTTGATAAAGACTTTAAAAGCCAAATTACAGTAACAAACAGCTCACATTGGCTCAGACACAGGTTGGAAAGTGGGGAGCAAGAGAGATTTTAGCAATCATAGCAAAAGATTTTTAAAAAAGCTCTGTCTTTTGCAAAAAGGGGCCATTGGCCCCTTTGTCAGAGTCCCTTGTTCAAATCATGAAGATCTTTGTTGGGAAAACATTCACCACTCATTTAACTATGTTCAAAAAATTTACTTTTGTCTGTGCCAGGAGACCCAGAACAAGCTCTTAACTTGTTCTGGTTTTTCTATTCCACCAGAATATTAGCTTTCAAATAGAAAATATTAACTAAAAGTTTTTCTAAGGAATCTTTTTTACATTTTGTGCAGCACATTGATACCTTCCAGCAGGCTTATGAAATCAAAGAATCATTTTTTACCCTACTAGGCAAGATACAATTTTCATCATTTTTTTTTTAAATATTAAAAGGCTTACTGGATTAGGTAAAGCATAATAAAGATTTGATTAAAAAAGTAAATTACCATTTTTTATTTTTGAGTAAATAAAAATTATCATGAATCTTATTCTTATGAGAATTTACACAAAGGAACTGATAAATAAGCCTGTGAAAAATTAGGGGATTGCAGACTTTTTGTAAGAAATAGCCCATATGAGTGACCAGCCATCACACTTACAAACTTACAAGGGTTAATTGGTTTATTTTTGTAACAGCAACTTCTCCTGCCATTGCATTTTTTGCAATAAATGTTTTGCCAGACAGGTGATTTTTGCTATGATAGTCATAAAATTCAATCTCTTTGGAAAAGGATAGTGAAGTGAAAGGTACTTTTCAGAGCTTAGAACCTTTTACTCTTATAAAAACAGGCATATTTCTGGTAGGAAATTCGAAGAAATTGGTAAGAATTGTTGATTGGGGGATAGAATAAAACAGCAGGTTCCTTCCAACCTAACTTACGAAACTTCCCTCAAAGAGAACAGCTTACTCAGCTTAAAATCAAGGGGCATTTACTGGAAACCCAGATTGCATGAAAAACTATAATGGCAATAAGTTTCAGATTATTGGCAAAGCCTGTAGCCATTCCATCCAGCAGTTTTGGAATCCATCTTTTTTATAGTTGGTACATATGCTGAAATAAAGCAATTGTCTATTCCATGTTTGGTACATACGCTCAGAAAATACAAATTAATCGAGGAACTGTCAATAACTAGAGCACCATCCGCCATTATCCCAATGTGCAAGTCTTGCTAAATACGCACAATGTCCCGTGCATTTAGTTTGTTTACAAAACTGTGACACAGCTCCTTTAAGCCAGGCTTAAGCATTGAAAGTGTGCATATTGCTAGCCCTTTTCATAGAGAAATTTTTGCAAGGGCAATAAACTGCCTGCATGGATCAGCCTACGAGGGTGATTGCCCGACTAACATTATTTGTTAAAAGAAGTCCTAAGGGTATTATCCAACCACATTACTGTCCACTGATGACTACGGAACTTTGAAGTTGAATTGACTTTGAAGAAAATTTGTTGTGGATTATGGAAAACTTTTGGACGGTATAACAGAGTTCTACACATTTGCCGGACGCAGTATTTTTCGAAAATGATGAAAGGGTTACAGAATTTTTATAAAGTTTTAAGGATTTGTGGAATTATTCAACTAATGTCTTGTAAAAACATCTTGGAACAAAGGTCCTATCAAAATTTTTAAGGCATGGAATTTTGGATGAAGATGACTGGAACTGTGGATTTCTACCCCCTTGATGTCCTCCTTTTCGATAGCACTTGCATTCTAAAAAACGTTCAGCTTAAAGGCCTCAAGGAATCCTTGACGACGTCTTGAGAAGATGTGAATTGAATAAAAATGACAACAACAATAGTGACATTTGTTGCTAACTATTCCCTAAGTGTTCTATCTTTCTCTTGCAGGTGATACATGTTTTTGCAAGGGCGGTCAATAGCCCACATCAATAATTTGGCGAGGGCAATGGCGATCGCCCGCTTGAAATGAAAAGGCATGATATTGCGCAATAGCCATATATGTCGCCTTAATTTTGCGCTGCTATGATTTACTGCTAAATTACATGTTAATTAGATCTGGGATTTTCATAGTATGGAAAATTAGCTGAAACGAATAAATAGACAAAAGCTCAAAATAACAAATTTCTTTGGGTCCATAGGGCCGTCGCGAGGCAAGCCTTGTTGGGTGGGTGTTGCCTGCAATATTATCTAATTAAAAAATAATTACCTTAAATTCTTAAGTTGCTCTAACCAACTTCTGTAATAAATTTTGTCAATCTTATTGTGTGGCATATATAATTAGCAACTTTCCATTTTTATATGATAATACCAGCCTTTCCTAATAGTTTTGTCAAATCTGTATGTCGAATTGGCAAAGGATACAACTACCCAAGGCACTGTGGTTGCTGCCCAAGGACTAGAAAATTTTCGAATTTTGATGCTTCCAAGTCCCTGGAAAATGCACTCTTTTAAGGAAATTTTACTAAAACAATCCTCCCAATCCTATTTAAAATTCTTTTATTTTTGAAAACAAATTGAACAGAAGATAAAAACAACTGGTACAATTTCGCCGTGGTCTTGAAAAATTCCATATTGTCAGTTACTTCTAAAGCTAGGTAACAAGTAGCACTGTTTGTCAACTTAGATCCCTTTTTCCATTTTCGCATGCTTTTTGAATGTTAAAAACAATCCGGAGCTCGTTGTGAATTGCAGTTGACGCTTCTACCAAGAAACTTTAGGGAAAATTTTACCAAAAGAGGGCCTGGATTTTAAGATTTTGTGCCAACGAGAAATCTTCAAATCTTCAAATCATTGGTGTGACACCCCCACACCCCCTGGTCGCGACGCCCCTGGCTACGGAGAGTTAATCTGTCTTTTTCAAAACTATTATTGCTTTATTAAATCGATTGGCAACAGATTACGGTTTAACTCAAGCTGTCTTTAGTAAGAAAATTCCCTTAATCCGAATCATTCTGAAACTTCTGACAAAACGTGTGCAACAAAAAACTCATCAAGCTCTTTATGGAGTGATAGGCGACAAGTAGTTGACTAGCAAGTTCAGCTGTTGTTGGTTGGTGGTTTGGGAGGCGAACTCCTTCCTTCCTAAATTGTATAGCGAATGACTGTATCGTTTACACCTCGACAAAAAATGCAAGAAGTTAACTCATACCTCTATCATTAAGCTATGTCTCCTCGAAGAAACTTTTGACATCACTGATATCAAAAGTACGATCTTGAAAGCCGCGACGATTGAGCGGTCTTGACAACGCAATTTATAAGAACGTGACGCCATTTTCTCCGGTAAATTCTGTTCACCGTCTGCCTCTATTTCATGTCGCGGCTAATGATGAAAGATGACTTTTGCGACTTGACGTGTCATCCCATTCGACATCATCAGCACAATGAAAAAAGTGCAGGGAGTTTTTACTGGTCTGTTCTGTTTTCAGTGCTGAGTTTGGCAAAACACGTATAAGCCTTCAACAAGTAAAATGACAAGGGTGGATTTTTTACTGTTAGTAAATACTACGTCAGCTAAACGAGAATGTTGAAAACCCCTTTTAAAATGCCATAGGCACAGACGATGGCAGAAGATAAAAAAAGGGAGAATTCTAACAGAGATGGCAGTGAAAAATTGAGCCTGGGGGAGAAAGCTACGAATCAAGTTTAGTGGGAAAGAAGGACCGATCCGACGCGGAAGAAAATTTCTGAAATTATACCTCCTAGAATCGCTAACAACAATAGCGCCGACAACGGGATACAGCCACTGACCTCAAAAAAGACTGGATCTAGCTTCTCCAGCCCAGCATTGATTCCACATTGCAGCGTTCATCTTGAGACCTGCCGTGTTGTATGAGACGAGAGTGCAATCACTTTGGTTTCAGTTCAACTTGCTTTTTCATAGCAAAATTCAAAGTAACCGTTGAAATAAAAATTTGCAGCATTTAGTGACGTTAAACATTTTTGACATGGTATTAAACTTAGGTAACGGAGAATCCACTGTTTACTTATTTTCCTAGGCCTGTGGTGAATATTAAGGAATTTAATGATTAATGCACAACTTAAATCGCAGCACTGTCTGTGCACCACTTTTACAAATAGCAGCCCAAAGCTTTAGGCAAGAGAGGTCTAAGGATGGAAAGATTCAATCGCTTTCTCGCACTGATGTAAATGTAAGAGAAAAATAGGTTGTTTGATCAAGTCTTTTTTTCAGATCAGTAGGTACAGCTAGGGCAGTACCCTTGGCCCAAGCCCTGGTGGGGACCTATATAAGAAATTGACCCTTTCTTTAATCTTCAACAATGATGCGTGGTTATTCCATGCTTCCTTCTAAAATAACCCCAAAAGACCCTAAATTTGACGTTAAAGTATGTCAAAGTAGCTCTGTGTTGTTAATGCTTGATACATTTCTCGACAATCTTAAACTCAGGCTAGCAAAGCTGGTCCGTCAAAACAAAATAACATACAACGACGGCTTTAACTTGTCACTGCTATGGGTAACAGTTTGAACAACATATATCGAGAAAGAGGGGCTCAGAAGTTCACTCGATTTTAATTGACACATAACTATCTTTGTTAAAGATTTTGTCTAAGCAAGACTGCAATCACACCTATTTTGAATAAAAAGAAGCCCAAGCTGAAGGTTTGCTTGCAGGGAAGATTGACATTTTTAAACCATCCTTCAAAGCGCTGTATAATTTCCGTTTTCACCTTCAAGTTCAGAGAGGGCGTTTCCAAGAGCAAAAGCAGGGCGTGACCAAAATTTTTTAAAGTAATTTGGAGCCTCGGTATGGCATATGGTATTCCCTTGAGGACCGTCCCGTGTGGCGGCGGCCCTGCCTAGGAGGACATCTCTTTGGCTTAAATATGACAAAGTATTGTGCCGCTCAACTTAGGTTATACAATTTGACGTTTCTAAAAAAAATTGATCATCGTTTATTGGGAATAGATGGGAAGGGAGGATCCATGATAAAACTATAGTGATAGGAGTTGGAGAGGAAGGGAAAATGCCACCAAATGGTAAGAAGACCAAGAAAAAACATTGCAATATAAGTCGTTATAACTTGTGAAATTACAAAATAAGTGAAAATTATAGACAAATAATAAAAAGCTAGGTAAATAACTTAATTGATGAACAAATAAAACCAATCAATATATAAAAGTTTTTCTCTTTTAAAACCAAAAATCATACTCTTTTTATAGAAAATAATAAAAACAATGAAAGGCTTATCTCTGAAAAGGTGGGAGGGGTTTCAAAGGCGCTGTGCTTGTCTACCCAGGCAAACTCAAACTGGATTTAATCAAGCCAGGCTCAAAAAACCCGACCTCAATCAAACCGGGCCAACTCAGCCCGGGCTGGCTCAAAGCCAAGAAAACTAAGCCCGGGCCGAGTCAGCCCGGGCCGAAATCAGCCTGGGCCGAACTCAGCCCGGGCCAAGTAAGCCCGGCTGATTTTGGCCAAGGCTGATTTCGGCCCGGGGCTGATTTCGGCCCGGGGCTGAGTTCGGCCCGGGCTGACTTCAGCCCTGGCTGAATTCGGCCAAGGCTGCGTTCAGCCACGGCTGAATTTGGCCTGGGCTGACTTCGGCCCTGGCTGAGTTCAACCCTGGCTGAGTTCGGCCAGGTCTCAGTTCAGCCCTGGCTGAGTTCAGCCTGGGCTGATTTTGGCAAGGGTTGATTTCGGCCAGGGCTGAGTTTGGCCCTGCCTGTGTTCGGCAAGGGCTGACTTCGGCCCTGACTAACTTCGGCCTAGGCTGAGTTCTGCCCTGACTGAGTTCGGCCCTGGCTGAGTTCGGCCCGGGCTGACTTTAGACCTAGCTGAGTTTGGCCAAGGCTGATTTCGGCCTTGGCTGAGTTCGGCCCTGGCTGAGTTCAACCTGGGCTGATTTCGACAAGGGTTGTTCTCAGGCAGGGCTGAGTTCGGCCCTGGCTGAGTTCAAACCTGGCTGAGTTTGGTTCTTGCTGACATTGAAACCTGGCTGAGTTCGGCCCTGGCTGAGTTCGGCCCTGGCTGAGTTCGGCCCTGGCTGACTTCAAAACCTGGCTGAGTTTGGCCCTGTCTGAGTTCGGCCATGGCTGAGTTCAGCCATGGCTGAGTTCAGCCCTGGCTGAGTTTGGCCCTGGCTGAGTTTGGCCCTGGCTGAGTTTGGCCCTTGCTGAGTTCGAAACCTGGCTGAGTTCGGGAACTCAGCAGGGCCAAACTTCAGCTAGGTTTGAACTCAGCTAGGTTTGAACTCAGCCAGGCCAAACTCACTAGGGCTGGAACTCAGCCAGGGCCGAACTCAGCCAGGTTTCGAAGTTCAGCCAGGGCCAAACTCAGCCAGGGCTGACCTCAGCCAGGTTACGAACTCAGCAAGGGCCGAACTCAGCCAGGGCCATACTCAGCCAGGGCCGAACTCAGACAGGTTTTGAAGTCAGCCAGGGCCGAACTCAGCCGGGCCAAACTCAGCCAGGGCTGAACTCAGCCATGGACGAACTCAGCCATGCCGATCTCAGACAGGCCAAACTCAGCCAGGTTTCGAAGTCAGCCATGGCCGAAATCGACAGGGCCCAGCTCAGCCAGGCTGAACTTAGGCATGGCCGTACTCAGACAGGGCCAAACTCAGCCAGGTTCGAAGTCAGCCAGGGGCCGAACTCAGCCAGGCCGAACTAAGCCAGGCTTCGAAGTCAGCAAGAACCAAACTCAGCCAGGTTTGAACTCAGCCATGGCCGAACTCAGAGAGGGCCAAACTCAGCCAGGTTTCAAAGTCAGCCTTGGCCGATCTCAGACAGGGCCAAAATAAGCCAGGGCCGAACTCAGCCAGGGCCGAACTTAGCCTGGGCCGAACTCAGCCAGGGCCAAACTCAGCCAGGCTGAACTCAGCCATGGCCGAACTCAGACAGGGCCAAACTCAGCCAGGGCCAAACTCAGCTAGGTTTGAACTCAGCTGGGTTTGAACTCAGCCAGGCCAAACTCAGCCAGGGCTGAACTCAGCCAGGGCGAACTCAGCCAAGTTTCGAAGTCAGCAAGGACCAAACTCAGCCAGGTTTGAACTCAGCCAGGGCTGAACTCAGCCCTGGCCGAAACCAAACCCTTGTCGAAATCAGCCCAGGTTTAACTCAGCCAGGGCTGACTCAGCCAGGAATGAAATAAGCCAGGTTCGAACTCAGCCAGGGCTGAACTCAGCCAGGCCGAACTCAGCCAGGTTTCGAACTCAGCCAGGGCCAAACTCAGCCATGGCCGAACTCAGAAGAGGGCCAAACTCAGCCAGGTTTCAAAGTCAGCCATGGCCGATCTCAGACAGGGCCAAAATCAGCCAGGCCGAACTCAGCCAGGGCCGAACTTAGCCTGGGCCGAACTCAGCCAGGGCCAAACTCAGCCAGGGGCTGAACTCAGCCATGGCCGAACTCAGACAGGCCAAACTCAGCCAGGGCCAAACTCAGCTAGGTTTGAACTCAGGTGGGTTTGAACTCAGCCAGGGCCAAACTCAGCCAGGGCTGAACTCAGCCAGGGCCGAACTCAGCCAAGTTTCGAAGTCAGCAAGGACCAAACTCAGCCAGGTTTGACTCAGCCAGGCCAAACTCAGCCAGGGCTGAACTCAGCTATGGCCGAACTCAGACAGGGCCAAACTCAGCCAGGGCCAAACTCAGCTAGGTTTGAACTCAGCTGAGTTTGAAACTCAGCCAGGCCAAACTCAGCCAGGGCTGAACTCAGCCAGGGCTGAACTCAGCCAGGGCCGAACTCAGCCAAGTTTTGAAGTCAGCAAGGACCAAACTCAGCCAGGTTTGAACTCAGCCAGGGCTGAACTCAGCCCTGGCCGAAACCAACCCTTGTCGAAATCAGCCCAGGGTGAACTCCAGCCAGGGCCTGACTCAGCCAGGAATGAAATAAGCCAGGTTCGAACTCAGCCAGGGCTGAACTCAGCCGGG